TATATATATATATATATATATATATATATATATATATATATATATATATATATATATATATATATATATATATATATATATATATATACTTTTACGTATAAGGCATCTTTTTTAAAGTAATATTTTATATTTGTTTTAAATATATCGGAAATATTCTTGAATGATACAATTTTCTCCAATATTAAAAAAAAAATCTTGAAAATATTGAAGTTTTAAAGTTGCTGTTGATGACGTTAATACAATGTTAGAAACTATTTGAAAACGTTATAGAATACCACTCCAACAAAGTACTAATCATTGGTATTCACTGAGTTGTACGTGTTATTGCTTTAACCTTCCATTTAGCAAGCATTGGTAACAATTTGTGGTGCATTGCTCACCGCAACGGGGCGTTACTATCGCATTTAGCAGCAACGAAAGGGAAGTAAACACGAGGTCTGATGCGTTCCATTCGGACGGTATGTCTGGAGCGAAGTGGCAATCCTGTTGAACGTGGCGTGTGGTTCCACGAATAAAGGAGCGTTAACGAAGTAAGTACATGTATCATTTATATTTGTTGTGATCATTTTGAGCTCTTTTTAAATTATGCAAAATTACGCGCTTTTAAATTTTTTAATTGTTGATGTTGAAATTACTCGTTAAACTACAAAACTTTTGGAACAATTTTTCTCCAAAATTTATTTCTTAAAAAAAACAATTTTAAGTCGGAACAGAATGATTGTTTTCACGATTTATCAAATCCGTTAATATTCTTTTAAAATAAATGTCTCTAGTGTATGGATTCACACACAGTTAAACATTAACATTAATTTTCCATAAAAAATATACAAGTTTTTGATAATTCAACAGCTATTTATTACCACTTTCTATTTATTATTACCTATTATTAATATATAATTAAGAATGTCTAAAATTTTAAGTCAGAAACTTATTTTTATGTACATGCTACAGATACAAAATATATTTTCTTTTTCAAATATAGATATTCTTATAATTTAAGAGTGTAGAAAGACCGAGTGTGATTAAAATCGATACACGCTTCTTGAAAGTTATCGAAGTAATCTCAAACTCTCTAACATCAATTTATCTAGCTAATATTGTATCCCATCTACTTTTACCTAACCTAACCTAACTTATTCTACCTTAACTTAATCTAATATAACCTAATATGACAAAAAATATCACCGTATATATTTTTACGACATATTTATACGAAGTCTTAGAGAAGTGTAGAGTGCGGCATGAACTTAATCTTGAATTTTTCTTAATTTTGATAATGTGTAAACACAACAAGACAATACAAAATATCCCAGAATTATTCTGAGTATATCCAGGATATTTTGAGGAGTGCCTTAGGACATCTTTAGTACATTCGTGATAATCTCGGGATGTTCTGTGCTATCCGAATTTTGTATTGCACAATAAAAAAAATAATATAACGAAAGTAACAAGCGTTTCAATCTGTCACGATATTGACATAAAGATGTTCGGACATCCTTTAATATCACAGTAATCATAAAAGAGAAAGAAAAAATATATCTCTGTGATATTTTATTACAACTTGATTAGCTACATACTTGATTATTTTCACACGTTAGATATTGTAGTGATAAAAGTTAGTTCGCGACGATTGAAATCAATATCGGAAGACACACATGATATCTATATAACTCTATATATAACTCAAGTTTACTAAATTCTCCTTTTCTAATAAAAATATACATGCATTTGAACAACACGTATAATTACAATTTTCTGTTATTATTGCCATTATTTTTCGACAAGAACTACTCATCCTTTTTTCTCCTTCCACCATCTCCTCGTTTTTTTCTTTCTTTCTCTTTTTTCTATAACTATCGATATTTTTCTCACGCAACATCAAATATTTCAACAAGAAAATAATAAATAATGCTTTTCATAAATATGCTACATTAATTATTACATAATGACGAAGAGTAAAGATTACAATATACATTAGAAAAAATAATTGCGTGCGTAGCGATTAATCAATAATAAAATAATTATAAATATCAATACTATCTTTACTAACATTTTTATTTCTGCTCATGAAATTTGTTTATCATACTACTTTAAATAGAACGAGTATAATAATCTTATTTTAAAGTTTATTGATCTGATAAGCTTATCTATTTCCTGACTTATGGCTTAAAGTCAATTGAAATATTGCTGAAAATATTATCAATAGATATGTATAAGATAACATACGATGTACTATATAGAGAAAGTCACAGATTCATGATAAAAAAGATTGCTTATTAATTTAAAACTAATCCTCGATTTGGCGAAAATAGAAACGATCTATGTAAATAATATGAAAATATTTCACGTAAATAGCATGATTATAATTATTTATAATTTTCTGTAACAAAATTGTTAGGTTTATATTTGTTAAAATTCATGCAATTACTTTTTTGTAAAATTTTTTGCGAATTTCTTGAAAAATATTTGGTGCTGCTTGAAAAGAAAATATAACTTTGTAGAAATACATTATAATCAAATGTTCGTGTAACAATAACATATGATAATGATAATTAATGAATAATAAGACTTGTTCATTGATATTTTATCAAGAAATTTTAGTTAAAATGTATTGAATGTTTAGAAAAGAAGACTGAAATATGGTTCTATCGAGAAATTATCTCGAAACGAGAAACGATCTCGAATTAATCGCACCCACGAAGAACAACTCAAATGTAAAATGTAACGTAGATATGAAAGTTACTGTTTCAAACGTGAAGAAAGATGGCACTCGAAAAGAAAAGGCTTGCAGCATATTTAAATTATATGCATTTTTTTTCATTATTATCATCACGATAATAAATACATATGTATGTATAAATGTAAAAAAATTTCAATTACAGGTAAGATAAATAGTATGAATATAGCACCTAAAACAAATAATTATATATAAAGAACATCGGACTATATAGAAAACATAAGACTCCAAATAAGTACATATCACGCCACAATGCTGACTGAACTTCGAGAGTGCTTTGTGAACTTTGAGAGTTAATCATCAACTCCTTTTAACTCCTTTGATATGTATCAAAGGAAATGTGTGGAATGTACACATATCCGAGTGCCACAAATACTACACGTGATTTCTCAGCAGTTAACATAAAATAAAAGAATTGAAAAAGTTATTTTCCCATTACAAATCCAAATATTATTTTTATTGTGAAAACATACACTTTAGTAATCTAATTGCGCCAAGAATTGCATTTTAAATATTTTTTATATTTTAGGTGGATAAGTTGCATTACAACATCGTTCAACTAGAAAGTCAATATGATAAGTTGCATTACAACATCGTTCAACTAGAAAGTCAATATGATAAGCTCAATCAAAACAAAAATTGCAAGTGTTTCTATGAAACAATACGCTCACACGATTTTATTAACGTGACCAAGTCTTCTGACCGTGAGCACTCTAATTTGTCAGAAGTCAACAAAGATAACAGCAAATCTAATACATATTCTAATCGCACAAATTCATCTATCTGGAATCAATCGATAGATCACCAGAATGCTACGATGAAAATAAATTCCAGTACCAATTTAGATCGCATCATGAAGTCGATGATGAAATCTGAAAATAATTCAATTGTTAATTTTAATAAGATACGATATTTCCCACGTAGCCAGAGAGACTTACAGACTTCCACAAAACAAAATCTCGCGACGATAAAAGAGGAAAAGACTGATGTGTGGGATTCTCAGAATATATCACAAATTAAAAGATTACGGAGAAATATTGGAAAAGCCAGAAAAGAGAGAAGGAGGCCCAATCACAGTCGCAGGAAATTTGGTATATTTATAATTTTTTTATGAATAATTTTATTTTATCAATAATTTTTTTGTTTTTATATGACCCTATTAAATAAATGAAAAATCATAAAAAATTCTTCAATCGATAATTATTATTATATCTATTATTTAGAAACAGACTGAAATTTATATTGCTAAATGCGTTAACTAATATTGCCTTTTGGCTAATAGTGAAATAGTTTGACACAATGTACTTGAAAAAAAATTGCGAAACTAATAAATAAGCGGCTTATTCCATTTTACAGATCCGCTATTAGCTACATTTATTGGTGCAATACCGGAACAACATACTAACGACACAGGTATTTAAACAAAAAATAAATAATAATACAAACTGACTGTTCAACATTCTGGATCTAGAATTTTGTAACTAACTTTTACCATAATATCAATAAATGAAAATAAAACATATCATATTCTTACATTACAAATTGATTCTTAGTTAAAATTGGGCCATGGAAGAAAAATATTAGGACCAATAACCCTTTTGACTTCACTAAGTTTCATTTGGCGGATAACAAAATGTCGATTGAAGTTACCATAAATGGTTTATACATGATCTCTGTACAGGTGGAATTCTTTGCCTACCCAGTACTTACCAAATTTACTCTATTCTCTCTTTTATAGTGGATAAAAATATTTATTACAGATATTTTACTATGGGGAATCAAAAAAATATTCTTATTATGTATTGTTAAATTCTGAGGGCGGGTTTAATACAAAAAGACTCGTCACATGCGTCACTGCTGCTTGCAATGTAACTGGGGAAATAACGTGTCATACAAGTGTAATTACCTATCTGCAAAAAGGTGACAGACTAAGTGTACAACAAAAGGAAAAGGATAGGTAATTATAAATATATAAATTACATGTTAATTCGTTTCAAGCAGCACGTTAAATAAGACTATTAAATGAGACATAGTATAAAAATTTAAACTTTAACACTTTTAGATTCATTAATTTAAGAGAAGGATTTAGTCATATACAACTTGTGATGCTTGCCAAGAACGAACGGAAAACAATATAGTTATAAGTTTAAGTGTATTTGTAAATCTATTTTTCTAATAGGACAACGTTTAATATAACGTTTATAACGTTAATAAAGCAATGGTTGTAACTAATACGATTAGAATTTATAAAAAATTAAGTTTATAACGTACTTAATGATATTCCGGAGAGAAATGATTATATATGATTAGCCAAATATAATTATATATATACATATTATACATACATATATTATATGTATATAATTTTATATAATTTACATATAATTTGATATACAATTTTGTATATAATATATATATATATAATCATTTTTCCCACAAGTTAAGTTTTATGATCGTTAAAGTATTGAGACCAGTATTGTGAACTCAACGTATAACGTATAGTGATTCTATATATAGATAAATGAATAAACTAAAATAATAATAGGACAGTATAAATGCTCAATGAGCAAAAAAACATTTAAATATATAATAAAACAAAATCTAAATGATAATATTTGTATTTAGAGATACAAATAATTTATGTTTAATCATATTGATAACAAATTCGATTGTGATTCTCCAGTTTTTATAGTGTTGTATATCTATTTTTAAATAAACATCGTTGTCTTCTATCAGTGAAAAATGCAGACATTGTAATTAATAATGTCAATATATTTGCTTTTATTAATTTTATATATAGAAAATTTTATATATTTCTCTTTACCTAATAAACTACACTCATAATTTATACATATTTTTATACACAAAAGTATTTTCTTACGATTAAAGTTCCAGTTTTACTTTAGTTTTGCTCAAAAATTAAGTCGACCATACAAATGATGTTAGAATATGAATGAGTAATAAAAAGAACGCACATGTTTATTTATCTTAACATACATATGTAGAATGTTCTATAAAATAATAGTTTAATGGTTACTATACATAAGAACATTGATATTTTACGATATAGCAAGAATTTGATTTCACTGTTTTATTATTTGCAGTGTACATTCTTTAAATCCTACCTAAAAAAAAATTAGTGTAAAAAATTAATGACTAATAACTTATGTGGCAATAACATGTTGTTAATTAGTATTAATTACTTTAAATAACAAGTAAATTAAATGTTTCTAAGAAAACTATGAATACGTGGTATCAATATATGTTTCTTTGGCAATTCTTTGCACAAAGGCGGTTTTTAAGAAATTATCATTTAGATAGTAATAACGTTAATACTACTTATATATTAAAAATATACGTCGTTAATACGAAATATCATATGTTTTTAATATTTTTTACATTTTTATAAATGCTATGATGATAGAAAAAAGGTTTTCTTAATTTTCTATGTAATATCTAAACAGAGAAAAAGTATCATCGAGTCACGGTATAATACAAATCAACAAAGAAAAAATATATAAGAAATTATAAAAATAATTTTAATAAAATATTGATAATATACGTGCACATTATTCTCATTTTTAGTAACTTTTTTTAACATCATTTACTATTATACAGTTTCTCATAAAAAAAATTAGGTGTTATAAAATCCATTAAATTTGATTTTTACTTTGTAAAAGTAAGATTTGTAATTTTTATATTTGTGTATTGCCTTATTATATAATAATGTTATTACGCAGAATTCAAACTAATAGAGAGGTTTTATTCGACGGTAAATATTTCTAATTTACTTATTCTGTGGTATATAAGATTTGCGATATATACACAAGAGGCAATGCAAAAATTACATATTTACAATAACGATGTAAAAAAATATGAACATATAATAATAGCTGGTTTTTATACATGCATGAACGTAACTAAACTATGCATTAATAAGTTTAATCATTAATAATTTACGTCAAAGTTTAAATATACCTACGCACCCACATCTTATATTATAAATATAGATTATTTGGTGATCAGTAACATTAATTTAAAAATATGTTTTGTTACCACCAATCAAGTCAATTTGGTAGTTCTTTTTTGCCAAAACTTTCATTTCTTTGATTCCTAAATACAAAAATTATAAGCTCTTGGACTTCCATGTCTACAAAATTATAATTACTTTCGCATGTTTACATGCGCGCCATTTTTGGAATGCTAATGCTATTGAAGTATCAGTACTAGTATTTTCCTCGATGGGACTTTTGTTAGTTAGGACTAGGGCTACGATTAAGTCCATTGTGACGGCAACGATAAACAATTTCCATATCATATTCATATTTTATTACAATATATTTTGGCCAATAAAAAATGTCATAGAAACACATAAATTATCAATATCATATAGTAGACTTTTAAATCGACTATGATATTATATTAATGTGTATTATACATCATTCTGACTATACATTCCTATAGTCCATATAGTCCTATAGTCCATATAGTCTTACTATATGTTCTGAAGAAATTATAAAATTTCAATGTCTTTGTTGGTACGAGACCAGTAGATCTTATTCCTTGAGTAACTATCTCATTCGTTGTAGTTGTTGAATATTCGACTGACTATTTCGATAAATCTACATATTAACTCTTACATGCGCAAACTTTTACAATATATTCGAAATAGGATTACACGTGTACAATTGCTAACTATGTTTCCTTTAACATCTCATTCGATGTGGTTACATTGTTGCCGTTAAATTTTCCAGAAATCAACAACTTTTGTTGGATTTTCTAAAAATCAACAGACTCCGAGAGATCATTATCCGATCTGCGTAATAGAATTTGACAATTAATGGAAAGATATCGTTTGTTCGATTAATTGTAGATTGACTTGACGATCGATGAGTGTTATCAGATAGTTAAAAAAGATAATAATAAGATTTAATGACAGCCGCAACTCTTGACAACCATGTTTTTGTATTTCTTGAGAATCACGTTGCTCTCATCTAGGAAATATAGTACGGAAATAGCCGACAGTTTGGTGGGCGCGCAGCAAGGCTTAGGTACTTTTCCCGGGCTCACCAGGTGCACCAGTGTCTGCACTATAGCGTGGTTGGTCGCATTCATGTGAGCGTTCAATGGGAAATTACATTCTCCGCTGCAGTAGTACGCGTCGTATCCATCTGGGGCGATGATCCAATCCTGTGAAACAAATATTGATAGGAAATTATAAGAAAAAATAAAAAAAACACAGGTCGAATTATATAAGATATCCCAACTTTAATAGCTTACCTGCCATTGCAAATCGCGAAAGCTGACGTACAGTGTCTGGATCTTGCAAGTTCGTGAATGATGCTGCGCAGCGGATTCTGCGAAAATATCATTTTGTTGACAGACATCTCAACGATTTACGAAGCTAGCTAAGTACTATGAAAAATTAGTCAAGTTCACGTTTCATAAGCTATGTCACATTTAAAAATCAGAAATTCACGCAGTATAATTTGCGCGTGAACTCACCGATATAAGGATTGTTCTGGTGATCCCAATTGGAGGACTCGCTCTTCTTCTTTCTCTTGGCGTCACGTTTCTGCCGAACCTTGGATTCTCTTACACCCGAGCTCTTGAAATAGCCCACCAGGAAGGGTTGTTTATCAAGGTCGCCTCGATATCCCACGATTCCGATATCTTCTATTCTCACCTCGTGCACTACACATATGATATATTAATTGAAAGAGTGAATGTGTGTGTGTGTGAATAAAAATAGATAATCGTTTCTTGAGTGTATGTTGGAAAGATTATCTATATCTTTTATCGTATCGGAAAAGAGCATGTTCAGGTATGCTGCTTTACGAGACGGAAATGTGCGCACATATTTTGAATATTCCTCGTAAGTAGAATTGATCGTGGATTTGCGCCTCTGCATGTTTATTAGAATGGCCTGCGTCCCGGGATTATTAATAGTCAACCTTCATGAATATTGAACGCTTAAGAATCAAGAATCTCGGCGTGTAAAGTAAGCTGGCCTATCTTAGACATTCACTTCCAACACACATTGCTGTTTTTTTGAAGTTTTACTTGGTTCAACTGGAGTGGCTGCAAAATACTCAAATACTCGTCACGTATACACGTACGCATACATTTCTAAAAAATTATTTTATGATAAATAATAAGTTTACCATATATAGTACGTATATATTTAGTAGTAGTATATATTTAGTACGTTATTTCATTATTATCTGTTTACTTATTTTATTCTCCGCGAACAGAAATTCAAAGAAGCTGAATTCTTCGAAAATTTTCGAAGATAAATGTTGGATATTATAAATCTCGACAAAATTAAGAATGCGATAAAAGTTCCACTCGATTCTCTGTCACCGTAGACAATCAACAAGTATGCAAATGACACGAGCACTCGCCATTACCGATACACCGTGCACTCCGAATCCGAGAAAGCTAGTAAATTGACCGGGAGGAATGCGCATTTGCCGTGATTGCGGCGGGCACCTGCCGCTGTAGTTGTTGCACTTCGCGCGCTGTTAAGGAATGCACCGACGCACGACGCATACGACGGAATTCTCGAAGCAATAAAGAAGACACAATCGCACGGATTGAGCGTAACCAAGTCTCGTGTCAAATAGTTTTTCCTACTCAGTCAGTTGATACATTACAGTTAAAAGTTATAGTTTATATATTCATTTTTTATATATAATAGCTTATATATATAATATAATAGTTTAATATAGTATGTTATATATGTAATAATTAATATGTTATATATGTAATAATTAGCATATTCGTGCACACAGCAATGTATAAAAGATTGTTAATTCCGTACCAGATCTTTTATGATAGTTCGTATAAGAAAACGTAAGTTCTCAAAAGTAAGAATACATATGCTCGTTTATTTGCAGATATATAACTATATATTAAAGGAATTATTTAGATCTTGTTGGCCATTTTCATATATGAACTCGTTCGATATTTTTCTCTTATTATATATTGATTTAGAAAATTATCATTTTATTCTCCATACTCACACAAGAATACGAGGTATCTAACGTAAATTTTTATTTTAGGTAATTTTTGGATTTGCACTGTATGCAATGATTCCGTGGAAATTTTGTTTCAATTGTTGCTAGACAATTCTTTTTGTACATTCAAAGAGATTAGTATAAAGAATGAAGAAATATGTAAGGGTGTAGTTAAATGGATATACTCGCAATTAAATTAGCTGACATTAGATACAAGTGGTGTATTCTTAGATCACTACGTGAAAGAAAGAGTGAGAAAGAGAGAGGGGGGAGGGGGAGGAATCACGCGTAAAGATTCGTGAGAGGCATGTGACTCTCTGATCTTGCGTTTTACATTGAACGATCAAAGGTAAACCGGTTGCGCATGCTGAAGAGCGAGACAAGAGGAAAAAGGAAAGAAGCTAACACGAAATGAGAGACAGAGAGAGAAAGAGAGAGGCAAGTAACGAAATAATCTAGGCGCGGCAAATAACAAACCACATACATGCGCACACATATACATATTAATACACAACTGAAAAGCATACACCCGGTTGAGCAGGCACTTGTGTGCTTTGTGAGCGATGGTATTTATATTCACATTAATATTCAATGTTATCTGGAACGTTAACATATATACTATTATAAATGTTACGCTTAAATAAAAAATCTGATATTTTTAGTATTTAGATAGACCCTTTAAAACTATATTAAATATTATATATATATATATATATATATATATATATAATGAATAATATATATGTAACGTAGAAGAATTAACTCTTATAGCTTAGAATGTTAAAAAAACTAGCTATTTTGTCTTATTTATTGTTTTTCGCGTATGAAAATAAACAAAAGAGATATACTTCCGGTTATGGGTTAAAATCGGAACTCCTTCACGTTCTGCTCACGATCTAATCTCGATAAACATCGTACGTGTTTATATCAAGCCGGAAACCGCTCCTATATTTAACCTGAGATTTCTAAGAAGTTAAACGGAGAGACTTAATGCAAAGCACGATCAATCGAAAAGACTTTTGATTCAACTCATAAATTCAGCACAAGTTCTTTATGTGAAAATATTCTTGTTAAGAATATTTATATTGTTATCATTTTCGATTAAAAATTCTCTAGTTTGACTATAGGTGCGATGTGTTAGAACATTGCAAATATTTTGAAACGACATATCCAGCGTCCAATCATAGCTTTTTTAAGAGCTTCAAAACTTTCGCAGCATCTAATGTATTCTATGAATCATGGATAAATATTTTTCTAATTACCTTCAAAACAAAAAAGTAGAAAAAAATAGAAAAATAAATCGCTTACATGAGCCTCCGGCTAGATGTACAGAGAGGTACAATCCTCGGTTGCCATCAGGGTTGTTCACCCAGTGTCCGAGTGCTTCACTGACGTTTAGTGATAACCAACCCTCCTTGCCGGTCGTTGAGTTTATGGAATCGACGTATTTCAATCTTCGTCTGCTGGAGATAAAAAAAATGGTTATATTTATTTTACTGCATTTCTAAACCAAAAATACCAGAAGATTCGATATCCGCGTAATAATATGATATCTGTGTAGATACTGGGATATTGACATTACTACTGTTAATTACGATATAGTAAAAAATATCGTCGTTTAGTTATCAATCAACAGGCGTGTAATCCGTATGCGGAAAGGTAATATTGTATCTTCAATAACATCGATCGCGCCACGTGTGACGGCACAAACGTCTTGTCGTGATTCCTGAGTAATTGTAATTTCTAATTAATCACGCGCGCGAAGCCGCGCGTGTCTCGCGTCAATAAGACTTCAGCAAGGAAACACGCGGATCATTGTTCATTGAGCAAACGATCTTCGTAGCATTGAGCTGAGCAGTTTATGTCGTTTTTCCGCGGATCGATTATCGTAATTGAATGAGCGACATGAGATTCGCATGTCGTTTGAAGATCGAGCTTCGGTGACTTCCTACTCGATAAAACGAAGACTAAGTAAAATCGGTGAATCAGAAGATTAAACATTTAAATAGCGTTTGCCTCCAGATAAAAACATATGAGAAAAAATTTTTGCTAGTAAACACTTTAAATCAATCATACGCAGTATCTAATATCGTAAAAATTTATCTGTATATTATTTAATAATATAAATATTTCTGAAAAAATATGTTATTTGAATTATATTAAACATATACGAGAAATACTTACACAATTTTTGGCTAGAAACTATAAAAACGAAAAAAAAATATAAAATAACTACAAATTTGTCAGAGTACTGATTTAATAAAATAAATGAAATAAATATAACAAAACCAAAGAATAAAAATAGACAAACAAACTAAAACAAATAAAAAAACACTAATTTAATAATAATAATATCACTTGCATGAGATAATAGCACACAATTTTACTTTACAGTTGTACTTTGCTTAAAAATGACTGATCTTATCATTTCAATTTGGGAACAATTTTTCTCAATTTAGGAACGTTTATTAACGTTTATCATTGGGATTCCGTATTCATACTCATAATGATGTACTGCGAGGAGCTCTTATTACGAAAGCAACGAGTCGCCAGCTTGTCTCGCGACGAAGAAGAGGCAGGAGGAGGAAAAGGAGGAGGTGGAGGATGCGTCACGCATAGTTTGACTTTGACGGAAGAAGCTGAAAGAACCGGCAAGAAGGATAAGAAGAAGAAAGAGATAGGCCGATCGCAACTGCGTAGGCAGAAGAGACGAGGAACACGAAGAGAGCCTGTTAGCCCGTCTTCACGGCTAATTTACCTCAATTTACGGAATAGCGTTTCCTGTCGAGATCTGTATATCGGTCAGTCTCAGGTCGTAGTGCCCAAAGTTTCGGGGGAGAGAAACGCACGAGGACTGTCACTTTATATTCCAGGCAGTAAATTAATGAGCTGAAGAGTTAAGAGATTGATATCGCAAAAGGAGGAAGACTTTGAACAAATAACTCAAATAATTAGATGTTTGTGCACACAATATAGGTTTATCACTTGTAATAACCGATTTCATTAAGCTCATTCGAAGTAAACGTCTGTTAAAATGAAAACTTTAATATTCTCTATCGAATCGCTAGTATAAAACTCCGAATTAAAGGTATTAGATGGAAACCTGTTGTAATATTTCGACCAAGGAGTGACTTTATTAGATACATACACGCAATTATGATGACTTGAAATCAAATGATGAATACTTCCATTACTCAATGAAATTCAATTTAAAGGTTCAGAAAATGTTTAATTACGGATATGCTTCTCTAGAAATATAACAAATATCCCGACATCTAGGATAAATTCATAAATTCATTAAATACGTGCATGATTTGCGGTATCAAGAAGGGTGCCTCGAAAATATAGGAGAATTCGCGAAAAGGATGATCTTTTTTTAAATTAATACCAGGAATATACGAAAGCATTAGGCGTTTATACGGCAGGTATTAACGGCGACGGAACGTCTCGTGACTCATGAATTGTGACGGCGCGGCGTTTCCATTAGATAGAGCGTCTCTAGACAGACTGTCGCCGTTTACCGGCAGCGCAGAGGAGGTTTGCCCTCCCAGATTAGCTCACCACGCTTTCCTTTTTACGATTCAGTTTCCATCCGGACGGGACGATGTCCGCAAATGGCCCTGTGGCCATTAATTACATTCAAATCGCATTGTGCTTTTAATTGATCACTAATTATCTATTTCGCACTATATCTGTGCATAATTCTCTTTTTCAAACAAAAAATTTCTACAATTACATTATATTAAGGATGTATGATTCAACAATAAGATCGAGCAAAACGATTTCCAACAAAATTATTTTTCAACATGCGTAATAAATTATGTAGTAATATTATAATAAATCCTTTTTTTTATGTATCACATAGACCTTGATGCTGGAAATATATATTGTAAATATATCTTATATATAACGAGACTCTCTAAAATATTAAGCTATGTAATGCTAAATAGAAATCGAGATATTTGTTCGTAAGGAAGGGACTAAATGGAGAAATAGAATATAAAAAAGACGTTTGCCGGGTACTTGGGGTATTCCCTCCACAGGTAGAACAAATACCTGGGACTTTTTCGGCGAAGGATTAAGGACCTCCTAATTAGGGACACGATGACGATGTCAAAAACCGCGGAGGATGCCCGAAGAAACACGAAATTGGTTTAACCTAGGCGTCCTTGCCACAAAAGCGAGCGACCAACATGAATAGTTTTCTTTCTTCGGGCTTATCTCAGCTCCAAATTCTCCTTCGTCCTTTTCCATAGCAACGTGCATCAAATTTCTAAGATACTTTTTGTTCCAGGCATACTCATACAGTAAAAAATATCTAAAAGATATCTTAGAGACGTTTGAAAGATATCCTATTTGTTTTAAGTGTTTTTAGGATATCTCCAAGGTATATTTTAAACATTTATGTTATTTGGATCAATCTGGATCAAGTCGTCAACATAACTGAAAGTTACTACTTTTAAAATAAAAAGTTTTTACGGAAACAGATTGAATTACGATATAATAAAAAATTTATATAAATACAGATTTATACAAAACATTTGATACATACCACTGATTGATTTCATTTTCGGTTATACTACAAGACTAAAGATATCATCTACATATACTTTGGAAAATACGCTATTCAACCTGAAACGATGTTTCTATTAGACGCTGCAAACGCTTTAAAGCGCTTTAAAGCCATGATTGACCTATATGATGCTTCAAAGCATTTGCACCATCTAATGGATCGCACCCTATATTTTTTATGCAGTGCTGTCGTTTGTCATTTTACAGTTATGTTGCACATTACATTTAACAACTACCCCCCAGCCTCTCTTAATTTAATCGCAATGTTAAATTATTGAACAATAATTAACGGCTTATTTGATGCGTTTATTCTTTCTATAAGAATATGTATAGTTCTTCTTACCCTTCGTCAGTTTTCAACACCCGGTACGCTGTGATTGTGTAGGATTGATGTTCTTTTTGATTCTTCATGTCCGCGTGGCGGTATAACCGAAGTTCCGCGGCAATTATATGTTCTCCAGGTGGGACCTCGGACACGTTGAACCAAAGTCTCTTCCCACCTTCATGTCTTACCCCGGGAACGTGACGATCTATTTTAAATTATAAATCTGCGGTCAGATCAAGAACTATATAGCAATATAATCGCTAACAACAGTGATCATACAACAACAACAATTTTACGCGCATATTGCAATATATATATTCTCGATTTTGGAATAAATTTCATTAAAATATATATTATACATTGAAAAATATATGGTAATACCATATTTTCATAATGAGAATAGATACATAGAAAAATGGTAGCCCGAAAATCAATTGCTTGTGATATTGCAAAATATTTGGACGTTTATACTTGGTATATATTTCTAAAATTTCTTTTTTATTTTTCAATATTTTATTTCTGAATACCAATCCAAGATTGTCGGAATTAACGGCAGTCGCTGTTAGCTCTGACATTGAGAGTTTTCCCTTTCTTTTCTCTCATGTTTACTCTTCTTAATAAGACTGCATTTTTGGAAGGGAATTTGGTTATCTGGTGTGACTTAACGCCGACTGCCGACAACTCACCCTTAAAGCATGCCATCGATAGTCATCAAGTGACTAAAAGCTCGATTGGACCATTTTACGAAACCATCTAGATTTATGATACAAGAGCCGATTAGCCTTTCTTCTCAACGAGACAAGAACATTTCCACTATTCGTTGTCACAAACCGAAAGCTCTAGGAAGAAGGACCCGATCGATAACAGGGATCCTCGGGCTTATTGGAGCTCTCCCAAGGAGGCCTCTTGGAAATGAGTCGTGAACAATTCGCAGCGTGAAATCGACCTCTTTCTTACCGTCAAAGCGGCCACGTCCTACGAGCAAAGGAAAAGGGGGTAGGGAAGAAGTATACTTTCTTCACGGTAGACTCAAGAGGCTCTAAGTAATGCCTAATGCCTCCGCCAAAGTGGGCGGCGAGCTTCGAAGAGGGACGCGGCTGAGAGCGACGTGGGAAGGGGGAGGACATAAAAATTTGTTTTGTTTTTCGTTCCGACGGTCGCATTCCAACCGCACCAGATTGCCGGGCCTCCTCGACTCTCGGGGTGGTCCCAAATAGCTTTTGGGACCGTCCTGGAACGTTCCGTGGCGAGCCGCGTTTTTGTTTTTTACACTGCCGTCGCGTTGTGCCTTCCCATAGCCTCCCCCTCCACATTTCCTCACATGTATGCATGCATGCATATGTGTATGTGTGTGTTTGTATCTGCATATGTATACATGAAGAAGAAAGTGAGATATATAAGTGCATTACGTCCATATTTTACTAATTCTTGAGAGAGTAAGTCAAATAGCAAGCAGGATATTGGTGCTTATGAAAATGCCAACGTATCATATGAAGTAAAACACGAAACCGCAAGTGTCCGTTTCGAGTTAAATAGAACTCAACATACTTGCAGGAGTTAAATAGAACTCAACATACTTGCAGAGTAACCAAAATTAAAAGATACTTATTTTTTGTACTAACCAAGACGTGTAGGGAATGAAACGACCCCCGCAAAGTTTCCTTCTGTGCTATCTAAGTAACAATTGAAGGTACAAAAAAAGCTTTGGAAATATCTTTTTGTAAAATATTATAGTCCACATGCTAACAAAAATGTTTTAAATAATTGAATTAAAAATATTTTGAACAATCGATAAAATAGCTTATATCAGTCTTAATTTTTAGTTTATTACAGTTGTTACATGAACAGACATTTCTGAATCCATCCACATACATATAATTTTTTTCATATCACGAGAACAGAAGAAGAACAAGAAGGAACGAAAGGTTTAAATGGGCATCGACATTACGCTGAAGTGATTCTCAGAAAATAAATTGCTCCCCCTGCACCCCCTCCCCTCTCTCCTCCTCTTTCCTCTCTCTTTCTCTGATCACTTGTATTTAATTCTTCTGCGGATCTATCCATCTCTACGGTCTCCAGCATTCTAATCTTCATAATTCGTAACCATGCGTCTCCCTTCGGGCAATCGGCCGTCCTGAGTCCTGCTGTCCGCGCGAAGAAGGAAGAATGTACGAGAAGGAGCGGAAAAAAGGAACAAGAGCACGCGGGTCGACTCCGGGCCTCCAAGTTGAGACATTTTAACCTGCCCGTGGCTTCGCGCGAGGAAAGAGAGATACTTATTGACTCGTCTTTCTGAAAGGGGTATCCCGTAGAACATGATGGTAGAGGATGAAGAGACTTTGTATACAGGATATATGGTCCATAGTGTGTAACCTGCATGTGTGTGTAACCTGGCCATTGATGCAATCTGAATCAATCGTTCCTGTCCTTTTTTTTCTTTCTATGCGTTGTTTTCCCTTTTCCTTCCCTTTCGTTTTTCCCCATTGTTCCTGTATTCCTGTCTCCTTGTCTCTTTCCATCTTCATCACTTGATCTCTACTGCTTGCGCTCTCATTCTCTCGTACATATAACGAACAACTTATGGTTATAGCTGTCAATTTATATGCATGCCGCATTTCGCGTCGAACAGCCTAGAACGTTTCTCACCGTTCCCGACGAGGACGACAGCGAAATAGAAAACCGGACATACGAACAGTGAGAGGAGGGGGGAGCAATAACGGGTTTCCGAGGAATCTGATGTTCCCTCTTCCTTCTTCTCTGCCTCTTACCTCCTAACCACCCTCACGCGGAATATGTTTCGTTCAATGTTTCAAATCAATTTGCGCGTGATTGCATTGTTAAACTATTAATTATTATTTGTACCATCATTAATTGTTAACTGATTGTCACTTGTATCACAGTTCGCTTAAGCAAAAGAAATAAGAGGAAAAGGAAGTGAGATACATATGTAGAGAAAGAGAGAGACAGAGAGAGAGAGAGAGAGAAGTTTAGATTTTCATTAACAGGCTCTGATGACTCTGAGAAATGCACAGTGATAATATAATCATATCAATCTCACATCCGCAGATTCTTGAGAAATCGCTGCATATGCCTCGCCTTGTTCCTCCTCATGACTTCACACTTCAGGAACGTGCCCGAGAAGGAAAAGTATCTTATAATTTATCCTTATCGAACTTTTCGAAACGTGACTATCGTCTAAAACTTTCTCGGGAGTATTTGAAGCTAGGAATTCAATGATCGCGCAAGAGGACACGTCTTGACATTTGTGTCACTAAAAATGAATTTGTTCTACCTTAGACACCTTAGCCCTATTTAATCAACCTATCGTTAGGAACCTATAATTCAGTCATCTTGGCATTCCTCATAAAATTGACCCTTAAAATTTGTTGAGAATATTTAATATTTTTTTGTTTTATGCTTACTTTTTTGGACTGTACAATTTTGTGCAACGCTATGTATTCATATCTACGACAAGAAGTTATCAGCTTTGTTCTCAATAATAATAAAAATGTACATCATATACCGCATGTTGAATAAATCGTAAATTGCTTCGCGTTTTGTTGTCGTTATATGGTAACATGTTCATTTGACCGGATGTTTTTATTCTCTCAACAGAAGAGCATTATTTCCCTGCTGTTTGGTCGCAATCGTCATGATCGAATCAAAATAAAATATTAGTGAGATATAAAGCTAGTTTACAATTGAATATTTGTCGTTTATTTGTGCCTCTTTTTCAAATTTAATTTAAAATTGTTTGTTACTCTCTCTTATATAACCCAGAATTAATAAGTATTTTGATCGACTTGATTTGAAATAACTTACTGTGTAGCGCGAAGGTCATGATGACATCGCTCTGAGCGATCGCCTTTAGATCCTGCCCGGTAAGGTCGAATTCCCCAACCTTCCGGCGATGCAGCATGGACTTCTCCTCGTCGTCCTCGCCAAGGGCGTTCTTGTAAATATCCAGTAGGAACTTGGGCGCTGACCTCTTAACCTGCGTAGTCCTGCCGATGGTGTTTCGCGGACGATCCGGAAGTCCCAGCAAATTCAAGATCTCGTGCTCGACCTCGCGTTTCTCATGTTGGCTGACCACACGGTGGACCACTGTCTGGTCGAAGCCGTTATCTACGTATAAACCGCTCATTCTCTCGGCGCAGCTAGTGCGGACATCGCCGAAAATTATTGCGAGAATCAACAAAGTGAAAAAGGACCAGGGTGACATCCTGATGGCGTTGAAAAGAGGCCAACGTCTTACAGTTGCAACGTCCTTCTCTGTTTTATTTCCTTTTAACACTCACTACCTATCTTCCCCGCTATTTCTTCTTCTCCACTCACTGTTTCTCCACTCACTGAAAAAACTGTTTTCTTTCACTGAATGTTATCCACCTTTCGTCCTTTTATTATTTTCATACAATTCTTTCGCTCTTTTTATTTTCGTGATCTATAAGATAAGAGAAAATCTCTTTAAAATCTTCTTTTAAAATTTCTATCGCTTTCCACAAATATGCGTGTCTCTGTAATCCTCTTCGTAATCCTAGCGATAGCACAAATCTCCTAATTTAAATTTCTTGAGCGAGTTATTTAGAGATCACTAAATTGAAGGTATTCCAGCTCGATAACTGAGAATTGAAGAGACTCTAAGTAACTCAAAATCTAGGGACTTAGCGAATCCGATCACGAATCTCGAATCAAGATTCTCGAATAACGGTGATCTTGATCGATGCGGATCCTGGTGAACGGTGATCTGGATCAACGATGCCCGATACAGCAATTGCGCGCGTTTTGGTTTCGTTGTTAGAAATGGGCATCGCATGCCCAACTATTTGTTTTCTAGTGCCCTTAGCGGCTCGGTGACCTCGTCCTACGATTGGTCCCGCTATTTCGTCCGCTGATACCATGAAAATCTCGATAAAGACGATTATCTCGATAGGCGTTTTTGTCAGTGTGAGCCGAAATTTGCCAAGATACTACGTCACTACGATCGTATCGGAACTCGATGACTTCAATCAAGAAGATCGAAAATTCACGGTGCATCGCGTCTTTCTTGCTGATGCGCCGTGCGTTTTTTCTGGTTGTGCTTTTACGATATCTTCGCGTACTTCACAAGAAATTTGGCCTTATATTACGAACGATCATTTTTTCTAGGTTTCAGCTTTGTAAGTATCAACGTTTTATCGTAATTTCAATCGTTCCTTCCTATCCACGACTAAAGTACAACGTTGATGACACCTACTCATGCACGTCACCTGAATTATCCAAGAGAGATGAACCAGGCCCGAAAATGCAGCAATTTCTAGCTTATTCCTTCATCAGTCGCAAAATGTGATCAGCAACTTCACCTGTCTTAGTGGGTTTTATCAGGGTTGATGCTCCTTCAGTATATTATTTTGGCACTGCGATACTTCAGCACTTCAACACTACTATTGCAGTAGCACTACTATTGTAGTACAGAACTGTCAAACTGACAATCGCCAGAGTTGATTATCAGCGGTTCGTGATAAAGCAGAATGATTATGCTGTTCTATCGGAATATCGGAGTGTAGCTGCGGAACTACTTGGTTGATCTCGCGAAGCACGACCAAGCGTTTGTCAACGAGTTCTCCGACTGAGGAAGCAACGCGAGCTCTCGTCGTCTGCGGGCGTGAGTGACCATGGGTCACCGTGGGTAACTCCTGGCGACTCCCGCGATGCCAGTGCCAGTCTGTTTGTCTGGACCGTGCCAGTCGTCGTCCAGAGTCGTCTTTCTAGCAAACTCACCGCCTCCCAGGTCCGTATCGAGGCCAATCCGATCCCATTCCTGAAGTTCAATAAGTAACAACAGCTTTATCTCGCTTCAACAGCTGCAGTCTTATATATTTGTTTACTTACTTGCTTAGAAGATACATGTGGACAAGTCTAACATTATTATCACTCGATGCCAAGATGATTTATCTTCAGTCTTAGATTTCGAATTATCTTATAGCACCTGTGATCTTATAAAACGATATAACGAGAAAGGAGACACAAATCGCGATGTCTTCTTCAATACTTTCAGGAATTGCATCAAATTATATGAATAATAATTGCAGTTTTAATAATAATTACTGTTTTTCACGAGGTCCGCTTGCACTTGTGAGAAAAGCAATCTTCGTATGTCTAATATCACTCTCACTACACTCTTCCCTAACTCTCGAAGTTAAACATACGGAGAGTGCCTTTTTCACAAACTCTTTCATTTTTGCCAAAGTATAAATACCTCATACTTAAATTCATAGATATTATTTGATTTTTATTTAAGTATTCTAGTTGAGAGTATTTAGATAACATTCGAAACAATTAAGTGCCCAGACACTCAGAATCATCTCGCAGGTAATATTTATTTGCCATCTGTTATTGATTTCTGCAAGAAATGTTATTAATTTTGCACCAATTGGATGTTTTTTTATTTTTCGCAAGTATCATCTATACTAATCACGATATTCGAGTACCAAAGTATTTTACAAATTAATTAGATACCCAGATACCAGAGGAATATTCGACAGACTCGGATAGTATCCAAATATTAACATCACTAGTCAGTATCTCTAAAAATAGAGCAGTACGCATAGTTATAAATAAGCAAAAATGTAGTCATTTTGAATATGTAATGTAGTTATACTGAGATTATCTTGGACTGAATTATCATGCTTAGGATATCCTAAGATTCTCGTTAGGATATTTGAGATAGTTCTGACACGTTTCATATTCTGCTCTATGTAGGTCTTCAGAAGACACGAAGACAATCATTAAGGATGTGTATTATCTAAGAATTCAAAAATGTACTTCATCACAAGCGCGCTGTGCTAAATATTGTCAAGTTCCTCATGGCAAGAAAACGTGCAATAGATTCATAAAAAATTATTGAAAAGAATGTTGTATTATTTCAAGATAGATCATGCCTACTACGTATGACGAATAAGTCCTACAAAAGAAGGACAATCGAATTTTCGATTCTTCATTTACACGTTCCTGGATCATAGAGGTAGGACCGCCTCTGCCGAACGAGTAGGCGGTTAATATCGAAGACCAGGACTGGTCGCCGATAACTCGACTCTCTAACAAGGTGGTATCGTGGACCAGGACTAGAGGACGCGATGGCGGTCTATATTCTTCTATATAACTAACTAATATCCTCAACACGAATTCTATTTCTATTTACGTGAATAAGATGCACAAGGACGATTATTCTCAAGGTATTAAACGATTTTGGAAAAAAGAATTTTTATAGGAAATGATAGTACTTTCATGAAACTTTCGTGTGGGTCTCTCCAGATTCTCGATGATATTGTTATCAGCACCTTTTATAATTAACGTGACAAATCGAAATAACAATAGATCATTTTTAGATGAATCGATCATATTGCTAGCTAATTCGATATATATTAGCATATTTGAATAGACGTGAGATTCCTGTATTATTTGATAGATCATATACATATGGTCAGCATATTCCATAAAATGTAAAAGGAACAGTATAGCTGATTAGTGGCCGACGGTGAAAGTGAATTCAAGCCGCAAATATCAAATGAAATCGATGTGCGGTGCGAATAAAAATAAATATCGACTTGAGCTTTACATGCATATACATTAGAAATGTAGAAATTTAGTTTTTACTTTCCTGCATCTCTATTTATTAAATCAAACTAATTAAATTTGTTAGAAAAAGTCGATTAAGTTCGTCAATGAAGTTTATAGGAAAACAATTACATGATTTTGAAGCATATATCGAAATATTCATATTTCATGTTTCTATTTCTACAGAAGAATTGAGTAACATCAATGAGTCTCTCATTTAGCTTTAAGATAAGATATTAATACAGCCTTCTATGTTTATTTTTAATACGGTATACTTAATATTTAAAATATTGGGGAAATGACATAATTATTAATATCTGCATGTAATTACATTTTTAATTGAAAACAATTTTTTTTATATTACATATTAAAGTATTATAATAAGAGAATATTATATAAGAGTGTATTATAATACACGAACTGATTAAATAAAAAGTCACATCGAATCAATACTAAAATAGAAGTAATGTTTTCACACTTATTGAAGTTCATCCAAATTGAAATTAAAGAACTTAATTTATATATCATAAATGTCCAAAATATATATTCTAGATACATTCCAAATATGCCTGAATATCTCTGAGATATCTCTAGAATATATTTTGGATACTTGTGCTATATGTGCTTGATTTGTTTTGTGAAGTTGTAATTTAGTTTAATTTTAGTTTTGCACTCCTTAATATTTAAGATTTAAATTTTTACCAATCTCTATTTACTTTACTAAGATGATGTATTTTCACTAAACTTATAACATCTGTAAAAAAGAAACATATATTTTATATATTTTAAAATACGTGAAATACAGTGTACATCGTAACAAAAAAAAAATTTATCACATGAAAGACATAGAAATTCAACTTGTTGACAAAATATTAATATCGATACATAAAAATGACATAATGTCCCATCTAATAATTACTTCATTTATTATTCGGGATATCATTAGGTGGCATAATTACACTGCACTGACATTAATCATTTCGAAAAGTAATATTTTCATATAATTAACGTATCATTTTACGTATTATTTATTTTACAAACGCACAAAAAGGCGTAAATAAAACAGATGTGACGGCAGATGGGAATGCGAGCAGATAGAGGTGCCTCGAGGCGAATTCTTGACGCACATCAATTGCAGCAGAGGTACGTTCACCAGGGAAATCCCCTTACCACACTCTTCCTATCCCACTACCTCAACGTTTCGTTAAAGATACAGAGAAGAAATTCGCACAAATAAAGTCTACCAAGTTTCCGTATAAATTATTATTGATCAGTAATTTACATCCAAGAAACTTCTCTTTCTCTCCATGCCTTATCATCTGATCATCTTTGCTTCTATCATTTTCAATTATCGTTATCCACCAGTCATTATTTTCTCTATCAACGATAGAGATCGTTGATATTATATCTATAATATCTATAATATTCAAAATTTATCAAATATTTGATTCTAAAAATGTACGAATTAAAAAAGCTCGATAAAAATTCTTAAATTACTTTTCTTTACAAAATTTTCACAAATGTTCATTTGAGTCATTTTTTAATTTCTTTATTAAAATGCACTCTACCGATGTAATCGCCAAATGTGGAGAAGTTCCTTTAGAAAATATCTCCATTACTCTAGATAAGGAATTAAATTGTTCAGTTATGTTTCCCGACATGTCACCAGGTGAATTGAAACGAATAGAGAGATACAGACAGTAAACGAAATGTTTTTGATTCAATTTCGAATTTGTCAGATTAATTCCTGCCGATCTATCTTAATTCAGGTATGCTCCGTAGTCTCTTAGCTGGACGGCTGGGTGCGTTAAGTTAGTTGGCCATGTTGGTGTCAAGTCGGTGCCAAGAAGTCTACCGGCGATAACCAGCTGCACCGGTAGACTGCCTGCTGCCTGTGCGCGGCGGGCCCCGTGGGGCTTCTGAGACCGGTTATACTTGACCCAGCGCGCGGTTCGTTGTGCGCCGCCCGAGACCGGATTGCGCGCTGCTACCGAAACACGTACACCGTACAGCCTGAAGGCGTACGGAACGCACAGGTACGGATCAGGAACGGTTGTAGGAGTGGTGTAGGAGGAGAAAGGAGGAGTGGATTGGCAGGAATTCAGTCGAGGATATAAAACTTCGTGGGACGAGAGATGCCATTATGCAGATGGGCTACCAAGGATACTCCGTTTATTACTCAACCATCTGCGAACTCTAAGCAGTTACGGAACCAAAGATCTACGGAAGCGAAAGTTCTATTCCCTTAGAGCCCTATCAGGTGTTTATCTATCAAGCCAATAATCGATGAAGACGATGTTGCGCAGGTCGAGAAGACTATTATCAAAAGATGGAATCGAATATCAGAAATATAATAGGAATCTTCATTATAACATTATAGTAACAAAAATGTTTTTGTAATAAGATATAATGTATGTACGAGCATCCTCTAATTAAATAGAAAAATCTAACATTTGATTAAAAAGGAACAATACAAACATTAAATATATAAGTACATTTCCTCAACCATAAAAAGTACAGGATGCAACAAGACAATAAAGACTTTTTATCTTATAAACTCTAAGAATTTATTCTTATGCAAGTTAAAAGTGATAACATAATATCTTAATATAATATAATATACAGACTTAACATATATAACTACAGACTTAACATATATAATAATCTTACTTGGAAAATACACCATTATATGTAGTAGAGTATCTAATATTTCAGTAGTCACTAAATAATTGAATGTGTTGAAAATGTAGTTTTTTAAAGACTATAAACGCTTAAAGATTTTAGACGCAATTCATTAAACGTTGTTGTTTTGAAGCGCCGTATGAACTAATCATGGCTTTTCTTTAAGTACTTTAAAGTGTTTGTCTAATATATTCTTTAAGAATCTGTTTCAACCCGATCACAGTTCTGCATATTATTGATTAATAATATAAATATAGGGGAAAAATGTTAATTTTCAGTAAGATTCATTAGAAAACATTTCATCAATATTTACAATGTGCTTAGATAATAACTTATTTTACGTATTTTTCCATAAATTTGCGATGGAATTCGCTTCGTAGTGAATCATTGATGAAGACATCATGTTTCTTCTTTGGCTCAGAACGTGCGCAATTCTTGAAAACTACATCGTCATCCCATCGTCTTCGTACCTTCATATCCACTCTTCCACTCTGAGAGGAATAATTTAGCAAAGGGTTGCCTGAAAGAATATTTTCCATGCGTATTCTCTCTTCTTCCTGGCGTTTCTCCATCTCCTGCAACACGTAAAACAACGTTCAGAAAACCTTTTCTTACTTTCTAAATATCTCGTATATCGATTGACGAAATAATGGCATATTAACCTTCTTTGTTTGTTCCGCTGCTCGTTCCTTTTTAATCCTTTGCAGTTCAGCTAAAAGTGCCGCAGTATCATCCTCATCACTGTCAGAATCGGACTCGTCGTCATCGAGTGGGTCGTCAGCGTCTAAGCTAGCTGCAGGGACTTGATCTAGCTTCTGTCTTTTTGCATTAGATGCAGTTGGCTCTCTGGAAGGCTCAATGGCACGACGGCTTGATCCTTTTTCCTTTTCTCCTCGTTCTCTCTCTTCGAGCTCCTTCCTGAAGTCACGATTTCGCAGTTCTTCGATCGTTCCTTGACCATGTTCTCTGTAAAAAGAAAAATTACATAAAAAATCAATTGAATGTCATATATATGTCATATATATCATATATAACAAGCTTAAACTATCAGGCATTGCTTAGATTTCTTTTATATTTAGGACATCTAAATTCAAATTATCACAAAGTGTCAAGAAAATGAAATCTAAAGGATGTGTCCAAGTTTCACATAGTCTATATTTTTCACAGGATCCTAGAGAATATGTAAAATTTGCTTCAGATCAGTCAAAGAGTTAATAGAGAAATAGATAAATAGACATTCTATTTTATATATTTAGTATTTGACATATAAATATTAGAATATTAGAGTAACCAAATATGTATATTAGACTATAAGTAACACTTATAGCGAATTCGGTTGCTTGCACTAGTGTGCACTGAGTGCGCACTAAGGCTTGTTCATAGTATGTTATTATATTTAAAGATTGTCTTAAATAATTCTCAAATAAATTCTCAAATATTTTTAACCATAATATGATATGTATAACATCCTGTACAAATCATTTTATTAGTTAAAATGTTTTTAAATATGTATTTAAGACACGATCTTAAATATAAGAATGTACTGTAAACAAGCCTTAATGCGCACTCAGTGCGCACTAGTGCAAGCTACCGAATTCGCTATTAAATTTAATAGAGAAATAAAGCCATTATAGAAATAAGAGCCAAATGCTAGATATTAGTGCATATATATAGGGAGGATAATAATGTTCGCCATGTCAAATTCAGTGCATGCGCTTGACACAGCAAACATTATTATCTTTCCTCATATTAATATGCATTAATATCTAGCTTGGTTTTTAATAGCCTTATTTCTCTAATAAATATTAAATTTATGTACAGAATATAACTAAGAAATAAATGGTCAAACATCAGACATCTCCTTTATCAATCAACTAGACCAAGTTTATATTGTCAAATATAAGTAACGAAGATGACACAATGTAATAATTTTCTTAGATCTTACTATTTTGAACATTAATATATAATTGCCTAGATAAATATAAATGCTGGACACAGTATGCAAACATTTAATGTATATTTTATAATGCTATTGCAACATAATGTATTCAAGATATACTTGTTTTAAGAAATACTTCTTATTACTACAATAATTCCAGACAAAATGTGTTCCCTCTTTTTAACAAAATAAGCAGTAATTTCATGGTATCAGATTACTCCTTTTATATATCGATAAAATTCTTGTTGTACGAGAATGCATCTTTGTATTTTAATAACCTATATTTAAGCTTGGTGTGGGATGGCAAGTCTCTGCTGCTGTATTGCTTCGAAATCGCACTCAAGTCTTTTTCGCCTCGCCCTTGTCCTCCTCTAGCAGGCTCGAAAGTTGGTCTCGCTACTGTTGTCATATTTTCGCACACAATATTTAAAAAAATAAACAATTTTTATACAACTTCTTATCTTCCTCCTGGTTAAATTTCACACACGACTCGGATACAGCTTGCTTACTGATACAGACACTTCGCAACGTACGATGAAGTAATCGCTGAACACAACATAAATGCATGGTGGAAATATATAAGGTGATACGTCTGCTGGATGCGCAGTAGCTACCAATCAAAAAGCCACAAATTGGAAAAATCCAATGGCTGCCCTCATCAGTGTCACGTTCTGCAGGATTCACACCGCGTCCGATTTACGTACGACGTCCGATATCCAATAAGAAAACAGCTTTTTAATAGAGAATGCAATTCTCCATTTGAAAGCTGTTCTCCTATTGGATATCGTACGTCGTACGTTGGACATCGGACGCGGTGTGCATCCTCCATAAGGTTAGTATATTTTGTGGCAACCAGAGAGAATCTGGTCTGTTCTTTTCAGGGTCCCAATTCTTGAAATAGTTACGTATACGTAAGTTTTACTACGCAGGTTTAATCATACCATAAAATAGCTGCGCAGTAAAACTTACGTATACACAACTATTTCAAGAATAAGGGCCAGCTGCACTGCTGAACTGGAGCAATAGGCGAGAGTGAGAAAACGGTTACCGGATATAATCCATAAAAAAGTGGAGGGTAACGTTGGCAAAAGTCTTTAGGACCCATAAATATAACCATAATTCATTTCCGAGAGTTAACACGACTAGTGAAGTGAGAAGTGCACAGAACATATACTTGTCTCACTTTAACTTATTGCACCAGTTCATCGGTACAGCTGAAAAGAACAGACCTCAAAGTGGAGCGGATTCGCCGGAAGTCCGCCATTAGTTAGGCAACTTTTGCTGACGCGCGAGAAATTTAATCTCCTTAAACTTCAGATCCTGGTTACTATACACATATACACCAGTTTAAATTATTGTATTATAAAATATAGTTAAAAAATAAATTATTTTCTTTTGTACTGTTAAAAAATAAACTATTACTCTTGTACATTGCTGGAATTATTCATTCACAATAATATTTCAATAATATTTTACGAATATAATGTTACGAATTGATATTGGCAAAATCAAAGTGTTAGTAATATAATAAAAGAAAATGTGTTTTTATTTTTACTTTTATTTAGTCATAAATTTATGAAGTGTGCAGTTATTTATGTACAATATATACATATATGTAATATGAAATTGAATAGAGAGCGAGCGTGGCATAACATAGGTTCGTTTCCCAACAGAGCTAAAAATTGTGTGCAATCTGTTGTCTTTCTGTCACAGATACTGCTAACAGAATCTGCACAAAATCTGCTAAAATAAATATATATATATATATATATATATATATATATATATATATATAATATATAAAAATATATTTTTATAACTATAATTTGTTAACATTTCCAGGTGCGTCCGTCTTATTAAAAGTGCTAAATGTGCAAAGAGTACAAACACTACGAACTATCTATACTGGTGGTCGCTCTCAGGCTTCTCTCTGCTATGAGCAACAGGAACGCTCGAAAGCATTAAAAAACTGCACTCTTGAAGTTTAGGATATTTTCCAAGAAGCTGTTTTATTGGTCACGTATTATCTGAAGATAATATATAGCCAATGAAACTTCGCACACTTATATGAAAACAACAACAATTGACTTGATATATACTTGTTATTTACTCGATAAATGGACGCTTTAAAGCATCAAATAAGAAATATAATTGGTCTATTCGTTACTTGAAACATTACAGCGTTAAAAAAAATTCATCTTTCTATTCTAAAGAGAAGAAGGAGAGGAATCATGGGTCGCTCTTAGCAGAGCCGTATGAAGCGCTCTTTATACAACCGCGTGCATTTGAACTATGTAGCCAAAGTCCATGATTTCGGGGTTCTGTTCTGTACTAAATACACGAATGACATGGTTAAACAAGGACAGGCAATTATTTGTCTTTGTCTTTGTCTATTTCAAATTTTATTTTTCTTACACAAAAGTAACACATGAGGTTGTTTAGCTTTAGATTCAAAAAGGTGTATTTAACGTTCGAATATGTCAAGAATATGGTTTCTTGCGTCTTCAACTAATCAAAGTAAACGGGTTACATATCAAATTTGCCACTGATGCTCGATCTTTACTTAATTCCTACTGGAAGAAGTTAGCGAAAAGTGAAGCATAGCGAAGATTATGTATATATAGCTTGTCTGTGAATAGTGAAAGGGGAATGTAACTGTCTTTTACATTTTGTCTTCATATTTTTCATATAAGAAGGCAGCTATATATATATGAGTCTATGGTTGTGCTATGTTCTGCCCGTTCTGCCCTAGTATTATAATGGCCGCGTTCCAATATTCACTGCTAACGTAGAAAAACTATAGTTTATGTCACGTGTATTATAGATTTTCAGTGCTGTTAGTTATAATTTTTGTATAATATAATTTATATAATATATTCAGGTAAAAAAAAATAAAAATCACAAAGATGTCAAAATAATGTCAAAATAACGAGAAAATGACTAAAAATTTATTTTCCAATTACAATTTTATTATTATTTTATTATTTTGACAACATCATAATTTTCTGTTCCACTTAGAAAGACAATGTTACTATTTACACTGCCAGTACTCTGTCTATGTGAAAATAAAAATATATACAACGCGTGAATTACAGATTTTCAGTACTGGCAGTGAATACTGGAACAAAGCCCAGTAACGAACACGAAACTATATTTGATTGGTTACACAGTATCTTAAGAGGAAAACTGCCATTTTAAGATAATACGTAGCCAATGAAATAGTTGATTTCCTTGCTGGAATGCATACTATATTGCTTGATAAAATATAACTACATTGCTTAATGAAAACGTCTGGAGCATTTGAAGCTCCGAACAAACCCGCACCCTTATTCGCACGTTCTCCATCGATTGTCACAGTGGTCGTGGGTTCCAAAACGCGTGATGTCTTTGATTGTTTTTCGACTTGAACCTGGCTCAAGCTGGGTACGGTGATCTATGCGGCGGCCTGACAAGGCCATCGATGCGGCGGCATCGGGGAACCGATTTAGCCTGACTGACATCGATTAGTATTGGAGAGAATGAGCGAGAGGAAGTTTACGCGCGGCCTGGGCAAGCCCGGTATGGCGGCACAGCTACGGGAAACAGTATCTCAGGTCGTTCGGGAAAGTACCGTACAGGTGAGATTATCACTGCTTATCTACGTCGGTAAATGGGCACACTTTACTGTATATATATATATATATATATATATATATAGAAATGTTGGAAAATCATAATTAAGCGATTACGTTAAGCGGAAACTCAGAGTACACAGGGAGTTCCTGATCACTGATGGAGTTTAAAATATTTATGAGAGATAAGAAGTTTTTTAGAATATGAAAGAGCAGAAAATTTGAAAATAATAATTGCGAGTATTGGAAATGTCATATAATCATTTAATTCCACATCTGAGGATTAAAGATATTGTAGCACTAAAAATTTTAAGATGTAAACAAAAGACGGAGCTTAGTTTAAAATTCTAACTTCCAGTTCGTCATGTATCAATTTATCAAAAGATGCGATGGTTTGTTGCACTAAATATATTTTATGTGTTTTTATGAGAAATATTACGACATATTCTTTGCATATCCTTTCCATATCCTTTCCATATCCCCAAGTAGCACAAAATATTCTATGAATATTGGTTTTAAAATTTGAATCGAATGTTCTATGAACAGTTAGACCAGTTAGAGATAGTAAACATAGCATGCAAATATTTGATGTATACTTTATGATGTTATAATAATAGCATGACGTGCTTAACATATGTTTCTTTTAAGAAGAGTATTAAAGCATAAATGTATTGTGTACGTTTATAGAACATGTATAGTTATGCTATTCGAATATGCTATAAACTTATAACAGTATTTTTAGTACATACATAGAATGCACAAATATTCGTAAAGTATGCACAAAAAATTCATAGGATATTTCAGTGTTGCCCGAGTCCCTTTCATACATGAATAAAAGTTCAAGAACTAAAGAAGAATACGGATAGAATACGGACTTTTTTCGATATATTAGAGCAAACTTTATCACGTTTGATCAAGTAGAAAAAATATAAAAATATTAAATATTTAAAAATTTTATAGAATTTAAATGTTATACTTAAGAGATAAGAGAACTTAAGAGTTGTTCTTTCATTTCTGAAGACTTATACATATCTTTCACAGAATAAACCCCATCTAGTTGAACCCATTGACTTCGAAAATTTCGTCCTAAAGAATAAGACATTGTTGCAAAACGATCCTCAACGAGAACTGCTACTATACCCCCAAGATGATATTTCTGTGAGTTATAATTGTTATATTGCATTCGTTTTTATGCATTCGTCAGCATATTATCGACATCCGTTTCGTTCATAGATAAGCTAATATAAAGCCACTATCTGACAGGATATGAGATAAAGTTATGGAATATGTTAAAAATATCTTTATTACTATTTATATAACATATATTATAATCTTTTTTGAGAAATTTAAAATATTAATTTTCTTAAAAATAGTGAGTATTATATTCAATTATTATAAGTAAAAGTATGTTTACATGGCAGCAAGTGGTTCTGCCGAGAAGATATCGTAGCATCGTGCCAACGGCGCAGCAGGTTACAGAATGTGAGGAAGGAGCCGAAAATCTCCTGACGAAAGAATGTTTACGTAGCTATACATCAAATTGGAGTCTTGTGCATTATAAATATTTGGCATATAGCGGAACTTATCTCGAATTGCCAAGGTATACATTTCAACGTTGTGCAAAGATTCGTGAAAAACGATGAGAATTCTTTTTTAGATTCTTTCATGTCATGAATTTACAGAATAGCGAAAGCGGATGATCTTAAAGACGAAGTGTATGAAATCGATACTGAAGTAGATCAAGTTGACGAGGTAATGTTTCTTATTACTGCTAATAAGTGCTTTATCACTTTCAAACATTATATCTTCTCTTGATTTAAATTATTTACACTAATATTCACGACTGGCTTTTATTTATCATGTTTTCTTTTACTTTGTAATGTTTTTCCTTTTCTTTTTTGAAGATTTCAACATCGATGTTCTGAACCTTGAAGTATTAGATTATTCAAATTTTAGATGAGTAACTTTAGAAATTATGTTTTTATTACACATTTAGAGCTAAATGCGATTGTCTGTATGTTTCCATAGGATTTAACAAAAAATGATGGCATAACGAAGGAAGGTTATTTGATGAAAGGTCCTGAGAGTGGTAGTACAGATAGAATGTTCGCGCATATAGGCTCGAAATCATTTAAAAGACGCTTCTGTCATCTCAGGCAAGAAGTTGATGGCACTTATATACTCGAATTTTTCAAAGATGAAAGAAAAGGAGAGGCAAAATTGACAATAGTGATGGATTTTTGCACAGAAGTTGTCAGAAATACAAAACGTGGTAAATACAGCTTTGAGCTTCGAATGAGTGGTACTCACAAATCATACACATTGGCCTCAGAAAATGAGGCCGATATGCAAGATTGGATATTGAAGCTCAATTCTGTTCTACAACATTACAAACAGCAAGAAGAGAAACGTGCTGCTTCGTTAGAAAGAGCTTGCAATACACCTCTGCCATCGCCGCAGCCAATGCAGGTAGTGTAATCATTATCACTTTTAGTTTAAAATATTTGAATTTTTTATATTATATTATTTTTATATTTCGTTAGTTTTTATATAAAATTAACAAGAATTAGTTACTCCATGCTAAGATGACGATTAAAGGTGTAATTAAAAATACAATAATCTTTCGTTCCAGGTTTACGGCACATTAAAAGGACTGGAACAAAGTATGAATCCCCAATTGATAAAGTATTCTAGGGAGACTGACACTAGCATTGCTTTAGCGAGGAGAGAGAACAGAAAAAGACTGTTCAGTGTGTACCCTCACATAGCCCATATCAAGACGCAACCAAGCCCATCGACTGATCATAACGTGGATCCCTATAAAGAACAATTTGGTCACAGGATTTTCGTTAAATGTGAAAGTCTTAAATTTAGATTACAAGCACCGATCGACGAAAAGGAATCTCTCTGTCAGGTGGAGCCTTATCACACGACATTGAGTCTTTTTGATGCGAGGAATGGCAGAAAACTCACAGAGAATTTCCACTTCGATGTCAATCATGAAATCGTGCGAGACATGGTAAGAGAACTGAGTCCTACGGGAATCATGACAGAGACAGAGGATATTACCCTTCTTGAAGAACTGAAGAGTATTCCTTCAGACTGGATTAAATACCCGAAACAGGTGATTAATATGACAATTGTGAAAAAAATAGTTACCAATAATCATAATTCTTTTATGTATACTTCCACAAGTGGAAATGTACAAATATGAGATAAGGACTTGTAAAAACCTGAAAATTCATTACTATTGCAGGCCATATTCAATATCAGTAATCCTCATCCGGACATATTTCTTGTCGTAAGGATAGACAAAGTACTTCAGGGGAACATATACCAGACATCAGAGCCATATTTAAGAGCTACCAAGGATCCAAGATTGGGTTTGAAAGTACATAAACAAGTCCGAGCTTGTTGCCAAAGGTAGGATTATAAGTTTATATACTTTTTGTATTACGATATTGAATACGAACAGAAAACTCGCAAATTAAGATGATAATTATGTTATAAAAACTTCACAACTTTTCTTTCTCAGACTAGGAAATTATAGGATGCCATTTGCGTGGGCTGCAAGACCGTTGTTTAGGTTGTATAGCAACGAACTAGACACATCCTCGGATTTCCCGGCAATATATAGACAAGACGGTAACAAAATTAAGGATGAAGAACTGTTAAAACTCCTTTCGGAATATAGAAAGTGCGTATTAGTATTATGGTGTCGAGATTTATACAATAAATCATTTAATATGATACATATATTGATATGAATACTATGCCAGTGAACAATTTTTACTTTCAGGCCTGAAAAGCTTAGCAAATTGACTGTGATACCTGGCTGGTTGAAAATAAAAATCGAGCCTATTACAGACATCTCTGAAAGTGCGTATGTAAATAATAGGTTGTCACAAAAGTTTTGTTTTTGTATAATAACTTCTGTAATGTTTTTATATAATAATTTTTGTAAAATATTTTAAAATCTTCTAGGACTAAAGGTTTATAGAAGTTTTGAGATTTAAGTCTTGAGATTAAGACTATAAAATTCAATAATATTATAAAAGATTACTCTTGTGACTCAGTTTTTATAAGCTGATTTTTAACGCTTTTCGTAATAACGTAATTTTTTATACTTCTCTTACTAATTTGTGAAAATAAAAAAATAAGAAAATATAGTCAATAGTTCTGAACGATTCTAGGTATACGATATTTAAAATACGATTTCTAGATACATTGTCGACTTGCCTAGCACCATTAAAGCCATTTCCGATCCCTCCAACGACGGAGCCAACAATCGAGGTCGCAGAGTTTGAAAGCACTTCCGAGAGAGAAGTGCATCCGTACACGACATACATCAATCATCTCTATGTGTATCCGCAGACGCTTTGCTTTGATGCTCAGAAGATGTTTACTCGAGCTAGGAACATAGCGTGCATAGTGGAGCTCCGCGACGACGACAGTGAGAATGTTGTGCCTTTGCGAGTATGTAGTAAAAACATCCGTATAAATGCTGCAATCACTCAACAACTGAAGAATCCAAAAATAATATTTTTATTTAATTTGTAACAGGCGATTTATGGGAGACCAGGTTCACCGTTATTATGTCTGCGAATGTCGTGCGCAGTTTTGCATCATAACGCAGTGCCTTCTTGGTACGAAGAAATTAAGATGAAGTTACCCACGAAACTGCACGCGAAGCACCATATACTATTCTCCTTTTATCATATAAGCTGCGACATGAACAAGAAAAAAGAGAATGGTGTTGAAAACTGCGTCGGTTATGCTTGGGCACCATTGCTGCATAAAGGAAGGTAGGTAAGGTGATGAATTATGATCGTTAGCATATCTTGTCGCATTTGATCATAGTGATAGAAATATTAAGATCCCATATTTGCGCAGACTGAACGTGGATATAGAGTCGAATATCCAAGTACTGCCTGTAGCGACGCATTTGCCAGCAGGATACCTTTCCATACAACCCCTTGGGCTGGGGAAAGGGGTAAGAGTAAGATCGATTATCGGTATTATTTATTAATGTTTGCTATTGTGTTTGTACATCGCATCTATGAATCAAGTTTTGGCGCAAGCTCTTTGACACGAGTGAAAGTAACGTTAACTTTTACGCGTTTTCGTAGAACGCGGGACCAGATATTACTTGGATTGATTCTCAACGACCAATCTTCACGGTATCTTTCCAATTAATTTCAACGGTGTTCACAAGGGACCTTCATCTGCACAATCTTTTTGTCCACGCTGAGCGCATACTCGACACGAAACCCTCAGCGACGCCCTCGGATTCGGAGACTTGCAAGATCTTAAAGGCGGCACACGCGGTTCAACTAGTCACCGTTATCACATTTCTGCCTACCATACTAAATCAATTGTTCGTGTTGCTTACGTACAATACCAGTCAAGAGATCGGGCTCTACGTGATTAGGGTCTTAATACACTTTATTAACATGGTACAAGAAGCCGGCCGCAAAGAAATTCTACAAGCATACATTAAGGTAAAATTGAGAGTATCCTCAGACTATTAAATCTCCGATTCTATTGGCTCTTAATACCTTAGAACTTTGAAATTTCGTTCATCTTGCGAACGGTCTGATTCGTAGTTTGTATTTGTGCTGCCTCCGCTACGAAACGGTAACTCCACGGTACACGAACAACTGGCCAAGTACTTGCCAGTTTTGCTGCAGCCAAGCAACACCGATTTTCTGGTGGTGAACAAGTTTATGCATCATTCAAACTTCTTTTTCGAGATAATAATCAAAAGCATGGCGCAGTATCTACTCAGTACCGGTAGAATCAAGGTAAGTTCTTCGCGACCTTGGAATTTGAACACCGTTAGCGCTGATAGATTAGATAATTGCAATTACTGCTTATTAATTAGATGCACAGAAACGAACGATTCTCAAAGGACTATCATGAGAAAATCAAGACGTTACTAGACGTGATTATGCCATATCTAATGACCAAGTACAAAGAAATGCCGGTGGAGACACACGAATTGAATAAAAGTCTTGCGCAATTTTTAAAGGTATACGATGTCATACGATCGTTCTATGTGTATGTGTCATGCATATCTCTGCATCATTAATTTTGAATATCGCAATACGCAGCGATGTCTCACGTTTATGGATCGGGGCTTTGTATTTCGCCTCATCAATTCCTACTTGGACAACTTCTCGCCCGGTGATCAGCGCACGCTGCATGACTTCAAGTTTACTTTTCTACAGATTATCTGCTCTCATGAACACTACGTGTCTTTCAATTTGCCGATGATGCAGTCGCGCCTTGCTTCTCGAGGTAAATTCTTATATATGTCATTGATATATGCAAGAAAGACTGCGGTGAAAATGTACTAATTTACTTAATTAACTTCACTGTTTCGCGTCTTGTTTGGAAGATACCGACAATGACGCTGAGAGAGAACCAGAATGCGATGGTATGTTTATAACTACAGTCATACATGAATGCCTGTCGTACATCTTGTTTATGGTTGCAGTTAGCGCGAGTTAGGTGTTTTTAATTGGTAAAATATTTTTTTAGAAAGGGACACTGTTAATTCGATAATTATTGTTTCTCAAGTCGATGAATTTAGGTTTGCAGTTGCAACATTCGTGTTTTTACAGGGACACGCACTACACTTCCATATATGTTTAATTATATATGTTTGTAAAACATTTCTAACCCTACACATAATCATAACTGCACTGTATTAGACAGTGAATATCGCGACAGTGGATAAAACTGAGATACTTTATTTGGTGACAGATTTAATGAACGAGTATTGCCTTACGGAAGAATTCTGCAAACATCATTTCTTAGTTGGTCTTCTAATGCAAGAAGTTCGAGCTTCTCTCAATGAAATCGTGCAAATTCGTAAAGTAGCTATAGGCACTTTACGAGATTTACTGGCAAAGCACGAATTGGACGATAGATATCAAAATAAGGTGTAAACTTCAATATTTTGCTAATATAGTTAATGTATGATCTTTAAACCATCATGTTGTTTAAAACTAACCACATTTTTTTATTATAGGGTCAATTGAGTAGAATAGCATCGATTTATATACCGTGGCTGGGCGTTGTACTGGAAAATTTGCAACGATTGCAATCGATACAGGACGAGACCAAAACGGATACTAAACAGAATAGTGCAAGCAGAGTGTCAACCAGTAGCTCGTTTTTGACAGTAAAAGATACTATTTCTCTTAATGCCACAAGCTCAGGCACACCCAAGTCTCTCCACAGGTAAATTTTTATATCAATAAGACGATCTGTTGGCTGATCGCTGATAGATCGAAAGTCAAAGAGAAAATACGATGTTGCACAGATTGACTCTTCATCTGGAAACTCAATCACCCGTAAGAACATCTATGCACCTTCGGGATTCTACTTACTTCGCTGCCATCGCGGGTCAAGGATTAGTAAATGGATATTCTTGCGCCAGTGTCGAATCTGATACCTCGACTGTGTCTGGCGCATCTCAATCCAACATTTCCCAGGAGACTACCATCATTAGAGAGTTGGCGGAAAATGGAACAGGCGAGAGGAAGAGACACTCGCGCACCTTGAGCGTCACGCAGTCACTACCCAGGTGCGATAAGTTGCAACCATCAGAAGTGAAGGATATACTACTCTGCTTTCTGTTTGTTGTCAAGTATTTGGGTGATCACCAAGTGATCGCTTGGTGGCAACAATGCAACGATTCGGAAATACTGAGCTTCTTCACAGTGATTGAGTGAGTAGCGTCGATACAATATAAAAGAAATCTAATAATATAACGAAAATATCTACAAATGATGTTACTTTCTCTTATTTTTTAGGATGAGCTTGCATCATTTCAAATATATCGGTAAGAGACAAATAGCCGCTAACGCTGCAAGCTCTTTGGGAAAACCCCGTACTGTCAAAGCAATGACTCTACCGGCCAGGATGGCGCCTCCAGACTTTACGACTGAAAGTACAGCTACCAGCACATTACAACCTCACAATACAGTTACTAGAGAAAATCTCGTTGAAAATGATAGTGGCAAGGTGTATCAAGTTTTACTAGAAGCAAATATGGCAACAGAAGTCGGTCTTATAACGTTGGATTGCTTAGGACTTTTTTGTATCCATTTTAAAGTACGTATGATTAGTTATATTTTATGACCTTCAAACGTTAGAATATTGATATGTTAATGTATTAGTACCTCTCATTTCTCGCAGGATATTCTTTTGGCGAACGAGGGTGAAAATCCAGTTATGCAAAAGCTATTCAACATTTATTTGTCGTTCCTTCAAGTCGGACAGTCGGAAACGTTATTACGCCATGTCTTCGCTGGATTTAGAGCTTTTTTAAATAATTATTCAATCGCACTTTTCCAAGGTATCATCGATTTTTAGGAATTTTACAATTGAACGTTGTTTATAAAGCAGAATAAAAACATATATTAACTTCAGATGAAATTTACTAATAAATATTTCTATCGCATTTATTATGAATCGACCATCTTGGCTCGTTATTATAGTACATCATAAATAAAATTCATACTTAGAGGCCTTAAAAAAAGTAGATAAACCATTCGTTATGAGCTAGAAATTTGCGTAAAATTTGCATAAAGCTTGAACAGAATATCTTGCCTTGTAGGCAATGCTGTGCTTTGCGGACGCTTGTGTTACGAGTTGCTGCGTTGTTGCAACAGCAAATTGAGCTCTATACGGCAGGAGTCCTGCGCTTTGCTATATTTGTTGATGCGAAGTAATTTTGAGTTTACCAGTCGGAAAGGATTGACTAGAGTGCATTTGCAGGTACAATATTCACATTTAGAATATATCTTAAATCTGCTAAGTTAGGTCGTGGATTTGGTCCCGTGAATCTTCATCTTTATTAACACATTAGCTACTATACTGTTTACTCGTAATTTTAGGAATTTTAAACGTACACAAAATGTATCATACATTTGTTGCATATTACAGGTGATAATTTCAGTCTCTCAAATGCTGGGGAATGTAATCGGCTTGAATAATTCGCGATTTCAAGAATCGCTGTCCTTGATCAATAGTTACGCTTCCTCAGACAAAGTTATGAAAGGTACAGGTTTCCCAGTTGAAGTTAAGGACCTCAACAAAAGAATCCGTACGGTCTTAATGGCAACTGCGCAAATGCGGGAGCATAATAATGATCCTGAGATGTTGGTCGATTTACAACACAGCTTGGCCAATTCGTACGCTAGCACGCCTGAATTGAGACATACCTGGTTAGAAACGATGGCTAGAAACCATGCCAGGGATGGAAACTTTTCAGAAGTACTTATAATATTTACACAAAAATTATTCTACCTACAAAATATATTTTTAGATTTTTTTAGATTTATTAAAAACTGGTTAAAAAAAAGGAGACTCGAATGTATTTTGCGATGGTACATACTTTTTTTTTATTTTCAGGCTGCTTGTTGCCAACTACATATCGCAGCATTGATGGCTGAATATTTAAAACTGCGAAAGGTTCATCCATGGGGTGCGGAAGCTTTCGATCAAATTTCTGTGAACATTTCGAAGGACGAGTGTAACCTTAAGCTCGATGCTGGTGAGATTTGTATGTTTGCTTTACTGTGTTGTCTTGTCTTTGTTGTATTAAATGTGCATGCAGATGAAAATTACCTCGATTCGATTGTATTTTCAAATAAACACGAAGTTTTTTTTCCAGGTGTTCAAGATATTCATTATAATGAGTGTTTACTTCTCGAGCAGTTGGAAGTTTGTGCTGACACGTTGGAGAAAGCCGAGCGTTTTGAATTGCTTGGACATTTGTATCGTTTGATAGTTCCTATGTATGAAGCAAAAAGAAATTACGAAGCTTTGGCAAATTGCTACTCACATTTGGCGCAAGCCTGCAATAAAATCGTGGAAGTCACTCGATCTGGGAAGAGATTACTTGGGAGATTTTATAGAATAGCGTTCTTTGGCACGGTGAGATACATTACTGATCAGATTTACATGTTTATAATTTTCAAAAATCTAGTGTACACAGGAAAATTTATAATTTAGAAATGTTAAAAAAATATACATTAGCAAATGATTGTAATGTAATAACGCAAAATAATAAATTTAATATACATATGTATTATGGTCCAGGCATATTTTGAGGAAGAGACTGGCCAAGAGTACATCTATAAGGAGCCAAAAGTAACGTCGTTATCTGAAATATCGGAACGTTTGTTGCGTTTATACAGTGAAAAGTTCGGACCTGAGAATGTTAAGATGATTATGGACTCTGTACCGGTCGATGTGAGCGAGTTGGATCCCAAGATAGCATATATTCAAGTCACGCACGTAATTCCGTACTTTGAAAAGCCCGAGTTGGAAGTACGACAGACTGAGTTTGAGCAAAATCATAATGTGTCTTGTTTTATGTTCGAGACGCCCTTCACGAAGGAGGGTAAAGCAAGAGGTAGCCCGGAAGATCAATGGAAACGCAGAACCATTCTTACAAGTACGATTTAATTCTATTAATTCAAATTACTTGTTCGTTTATCTAAGATTTTGATTTCTTGAGAAAAAGGTAGATATGAAGATTGCACGTTTATTATACTCGTAGCACAATATTCCTTCCCGTATGTGAAGAAGCGCATTGGGATTGCCGAGAAACGGATAGTGGAGCTCAGTCCTATCGAAGTAGCTTTGGATGAAATGAGGCAACGCGTTCAAGAATTGGAGGACGTAGCTTTGATTGCACCAACCGATGTAAAGAAACTACAATTACGTCTTCAAGGTAGTATTTGTGTGACGGTAAATGCCGGTCCTCTGGCTTATGCCTCGGCGTTCCTGGATCCCGCATTGTCTCCACAATATCCTGACGACAAAGTAGAGGAACTGAAAGATGTCTTTAGGTACGTTTCTTCATTTTGTGTTTTGTAATCTCTGTATATGGTATCGAGGCATCGAGGTATGGGCTTATGGTTGTGCTGTAATTTCAGAGAATTTGTCAAGATATGTTACACAGCATTACAAATTAATAGCAAACTAATCACGCCGGACCAACATGAGTACCAAGAAGTTTTGCGCGAGAACTATCAGAAATTGTGCCAGAGCTTGTCGTCCTTGCTCGGAGAACCAATATGGCCAGACGAGCAAGTAGGAAGCTTCAAACGTAATAGTGCTGCTTTGTTCAGTGCCATCAGTGGCGCTAACAATCACACTAGTACAGCCTAAGTCAATAATTTTAGAATATCCATTCAACAGACCTCAAATTTTACTTTTTTCTAGTGTGATATGTTTAAGGGCCTTCCAAGCTCAAAATATTTCTCCACGCAGGACAGTATCTTTTAGCAGTAAACTTATATTAATTTCATAATTTTTGGCCTAACAAGAGACTCTCAAGTTACTGCCAAATTTGTTTAACCAAAGGAATGACGTGTGATGTCATAGAAAAATTCTAATTGGAGAATTTATGAATGGATTATGTATACTTTTTTTTTTCTTAGTCGTTGAATGAGAAATTCAGCCAAGTCAAAGAACTGCTTCTACTTATCAAGCCTATCGTGTCAATGTCGTAGTTTAATAAGTTGCGATTTAACTAGTAGAATAAGTTGGGTGTTAAAGACCCACCAGGGCATTTATATAGTATATCTATAACGAGTGAAAAAGTTACTAGTACATCTAACATCAACTCTTTCACTATGGCTAGCGTTAGTCCACAATACATCCATATTTATGATGTCCGTGTATAATCGGCTTTACAAGGAAAGATATATCTAACGACGAAAGTAACAGAACGAAAGGTGAGATTGGCTGTTTGCATTACGTGAAAGATTAAGTATAAGTCGACTAGACTCTTATCGTGTTTCCATTAAACTTTTTCAACTGTTTTTTTTTAACATTTAACTAATTCACACGAGATTGAATTATTGCTTCTGCTTAAGCATTATCTTTTATGACTGATACAATCAAAGGTTGCCCCTCACCTGTGAGAATAAAATCTACGAACATATTTTTGTCTATTGTCTGTGTTGCAATATGTATAGTATTGATGATTTGTCGTATATGTATTAACTGTTTGAGAGAGTATCACGATGGTTGCAGGATATGTTCGAAAAGTGCGCGATCGCGCTTCTGCTATTTCATGTCTGCTGTTTCCGACTTTCATTTACTTTTCACCAAAGAATTGTGATAAAAATACGTATGTCAAAGTCAGACTTTGGTAAAACCTCTTAAGTTACATTGACAGTGCGCTACAATAGAATCTGAGCACACTTTCAATGCACACTTTCAGAGGGCATTTTTAGCGGCGATTTGGGGCTGGCACTTTTGAAACAGAGTAGCGTGATCGCGCGATGCTGTGAATATGTATGTATGTGTGTGTGTGTGGCACTCAACAGTTAAGACACTTTGTGTAAAAATTGATTTGTACATAAATGTATAATTTCTCGCATACTTATGCGCTGTGTAAAGAGTCGACGAGTTTTAGAATATCGTAGAACCCTAAATCGACTGAAGAAAAAATCGTATAGATCCTTTGATACAAATTATCGAATACTTTATGCCACATTACGATCGAGCTTGTGTGCGCGTTTATACTACTGGTGATGCAAAGTCTAGTTTGTATGGATTGAGTAACTCTTATATGACGTTTATCGGAATTTATAGGAAATCGAATGAAAGTTTGTTTATATTATAGAGGGGAGGAAGCGCTGTAGCATCAGGTGGCTACGCTTTACTGACAGAAACCGATCCGACCACTTTGATACCTTGCGAACACGCACAAAGTATTGTTATTACATTTTGGTAATTATTTGTGAAGTGAGGCGTGAAATTTTATAAACTGAGAATGCGAGAGAGTACATACGTGTAAATTCATTTATTATCCGTGAAGACGTACCGATGCGGGTATCGGACTGTAGTCTAGCGATATATAGCTTTAAGCACAAATGTTCAAAAATAAATATGTGACAGAGACATTGATAGTATCTTTTCAATAGATTTCGTAAATTACAATATCGATCTTTTCAGCAACTTTCGTAACGATTATGGCGTGATGCATTACTTCCTGAGCATATTCTGAGCACACCTTACCGTAAGACATCTTGCTTCAATCAAAGTGTAAGTATAATACATCGGAGAAGACGCCAGATAGCGCTAAATGTGTCGCTTCTAAGGAGAGTGTTTTGCTATTTTGTGAAAGAGAAGTAAATTTGTAGAGAGAAGTAGGTCACCTCAATATGACTTATCGATGAAGCAATCGAGTTAGCCATAGAAGCTCTCGTGATCACTTAGAGTAACGCGTTGATGACTTTGTTGTGGTCGAGGGATTCATCGGAAAGTGTATTTCGTTTCGTGTAACACCTTATAGATGTCGACCTTAATGCTAAATGCTGCAAAAAAACTAAAACAAATAGATCTGTTGTTACGTATATATAAGCATTCCTACTTCAACATTGGCACGTGCATATGGTAGATGGCGCGGGTATATCCCCTGTCGTTTACGCGTATATACTTTACGCCCCATCCACTTCTAGCCGCGCGGCGCCGTCGACTGTCGGGGTTTCTCAGTACAAAACCACCCCCGGAGCTGGTATTATCAAAGTATACGATGATACGCGAATATTTCATAAATTCGATTCAGTTAATCCGCTGCAAATAATCTTTTCAGTGGACTTTATTGAAAGTGCAATTTTTCACGGCGGTTTATAGACGTTTTTACAAAGTTTGAAGAGGAGTGATCGATTTTTCAATATTGTTTCGCCGTGATTATTTTAGCGCGTCGCGCGCGCTATGTATGAGATGACAAAGCGAAGTTTTGGCAGCCGGCGACACAGAACGAAGGATTTCTTTCTCGAAAACTGTGCGTGCAGTGATCACAGACTCATTCCGGGAAACGGATTGTCGTATCGGTGAAGAAGGCGGGCGAGATCGGCGACGATGATAGACGCAAATTTCAGTTAGCCAAGTTCAAGCGTTTGGCGGTAAGTAATCAAACGTACGGAATGTGAAACTCAAAGTTATCTAATAAAAGCTGAAAAATTGTAATTTCACGTTAATTCAATGCTTCATCGGAATGTTCAGTGCAATGTTTTCCAATTTCACCCAGTTACGGAGTTCCTTGGAGTTCAGTGTAAAATCACAGAGTATTTAAACATTCTCTACCATATGGACTCGAAAAAATAGACCAGACATAAAAGACGACTGATGATAACGCACGACCATAGATCAATTCACAGCAGCGACATTTTTTTAATAAAAAACGACACTTCATTGGAACACCGCACAAAAGTATAATCCACGAAATGTGCTTATTGTGATCAATTTGTACAAACGGATAATTGCTTCGAAGAAATAACCGTCGCATCTGCAGGAGACACGAGTATTGTGGGAACAGTATAAATTGCAGTTCGCGAACTTCAAGTGTGTGATAATGAACAGTTTAAATCTGACGACCAAGAGTTTACGAACAAAGTTATAACATTTAAAAATCAATTGTGTCGTATTACTGCTCGTAAGAAGTTCTTAGTACGATGTTCCTTGATGTAACTTAGAAATTGACCGCAAATAATGAAGCAGTCTGTAAATTTATGAGCAAGCTGGATGGTAGAACAGATCTGATATAACCAAACTAAATGAGATAACTTTCACGCAATAATTTGAAAAATTGAATCTTCCACTTAGAGAAAGTAAACTGTATGATATCAACATTCCTTCATGTAAAGAGAGAGTGTACTCGATTTTTTTGAGACTGGTTATTACGGGATCTTCCGACTCCCCTGAAGTTTCTCAGACTTTTTATTTGAAAAACCGTGAGAGATGACAGCGTGAAAGAACGACCAATGATGCGCCGGAGAAACGTCGATCGTGAAATGCCATGCGGAGGTGGGAATGCACTTCATCAGACGAGAAGATATCTGCGGCTTTCTCGACGTAGGGAGGAACCCGAAGATCCCAGAGTGGGGTCCCGTTGAGGCAGTTTGTGTCCATTTGGTCGTTATTGTAACGTATTGTTACACAGAGTTCCTATCTCGATTTCCCGGCCCAATAAATTCGCAGTGACGCAGCCGACAAGATTCGTACGTCGATCCGTGAACCACTGATCGATCGCGAGCGCTCCGCCGAAGATGGAGTCGACACTCATGAATCTCGCAAATGCGAGCGACGACCTCGTCAACTGCAGCTCGCAATTTACATCGCTCACGGACGGAGTCGCGGTCTGCGAAAGATTTAAGTTTGGCTTCGATCGTGAGCTAGTAGAAAGTATCGTGGTGGTGGTGGTGCCATTGTTCTTCGGCATGATCGGCATCCTCGGCTTGGTCGGGAATTCGCTGGTCGTCGTGGTGGTAGCGGCGAATCCCGGAATGAGGTCGACCACGAACATCCTCATCATCAACCTCGCTGTGGCAGATCTGCTTTTCGTCATATTTTGTATCCCCTTTACGGCTACGGACTTCGTGTTGCCATACTGGCCGTTCGGCAACGTCTGGTGCAAGATCGTTCAGTATCTGATCATCGTCACTGCCTACGCGAGCGTCTACACCCTGGTCCTCATGAGCCTCGACAGGTTGGTATGTTGAAAGATTATGGTTAAAGCTCGTGATAATCCTGATCGATAATATAAAATAACTAAATCAATAATATGTGGGTTTAATTAGTAACTAAAATAAACATTAACAAGTAATTTTAATGGATTTCTGGATCTTTTGTTTTATTAGAACAAAATCCATATTGGGAAAAGGATTGAGTGAAATTTAACATAAAAACAGCTAACTGTATTTACATATAGATAGTACCTAAACGTATAAAATCAACAAGTGTGAAGGATACGATGCGTAGCGTGATATATGAATAAAAATGAAGAGCTATTGAATGGAACAAAAATACTTCTTTTGAAATTAAAGTACGAAATAAAAATATTTCGTATATTCTATATGATACATTTTTTATTAAAAAAGAATTTGCTTGTAAATATCATTTGTTATCTTACTGTTATGTTACAGGACTAATTGTTACAGGATTAATAGTTATATAAATGTGTACACACAGAGAGCATTGTAATGCAAAATTCGTAATACATATTCATAATACATAATTTCATTTCATAATATATATAAAATTCACGAAAATGTGAACGTCGATATATTTGAAATGTACGAAGCAAAAGTTACTGACGGACATGCTTCTATAGAAATTATTTTCACACACATAGGAAAAGCTATTTTTACAGCGTGACCAGAGAATGACTTATTTATTCACACATTTCCATTACGGTTGTTGTAACCTCTCGCTTTAAAATCAATGCACTTTAGACATGCAATATTAATAAGAATAAATAGTAAGCTAATATAAATAGTAGGTAACTTTTACTCCTATCTTCCTTCGGCGCAATCTTTTCAATAAATAAAAATGTCCGTTTATTCATATGCAAGAGTTAAAAACAGTTTTGGCAGACTTGATTTTATCTATATTTATGGTCCCCAGGTATATCGATCGATCCTTTCCAATACGCTCTTCCATTCTACGAGGTCATTAATCAAAAATCCCCACGCATACCTTTCCACTTCAAGCACATGCTTCTTCTCAGGCGGCAATAAGCCTCTCCTCGTTGGTAAACTTGTGTCCCTTGGGGCTAGGCCCTTTAGGCGAGGGCAGAGTGTGAAATCATAGGGGGCGAGATCGAGACTATAGAGAGGTTGCTTGATGATGACCAATATTACGCACGTAGACTCCTGAGCGTAGCAAAATAGACTAGTGTATTATCATGCTACAGCCACCACGTGTGTTGGGTTAGGTGAGAATTAGATTTCAGTTCCTTCAGCTGCGCCAGCAACTCGAGCAAATAGTGTTCGATGTATCACTTCGCGATAATGGCCTGCTGCTTCTCCAGTGCCAGTAATCTTTATCAATCCTCGTTCAATGAAAATCTCAACGGTCATCTTTTTGTCATTGTCAGCGATTATTTCGCACTCAAGGGAGCTCGAGGTAATAAATTCGTAGTAAGCTCGCTTCGAAGAGGCACATTTTATTCCGAAAATTTGAAAGTATGTCAAAATAATAAAGTCACATTTTGTCATGAGTTATGATTGATTTTGATGCACAGGATTGGTTGCCCTAAAAGTTTCTGAGCATTATGTCACAGCATTTCTTGTTTTATGCGTGTTGCTGCTACTTTATGAGGTATCTAGAGGATATAGGCTTTTCCCGTCTGCAACTAATCGTGCAGAAGGGAACACATTAGTGGTATATTTATAAAACTTTTCAGCAACATTGCAGTAATGTCGCAACCTCACATGTAGAAACACAATATTTCAAAAGTATTGTAAGGATATGGAATTGTATAATATTCCACTCGAGTGTTAGAACAATATTCCATATTAGGACAACGTTACAAAAATACTTTAAATTTATAATTTATTTCTTTGCTGATACATTATGTTACACATTTTTGTACTTGAAATGAAGTAAATAAATATATTTGTAATTTGCTGGAGAGAGAAAGAAGTATAGAAGGTATAGAAAGTACAGTAAACAACCTTACACCATTAGCCGCGTAGCCAAGGAGCGCATACTCGAAGATAACATCACACTCGCTAGTTAAGTGTTAATCGCTAACACGGTACACTTGTAAGTGAAATCCAAATAGAGCGAGCATATATCATACAAAAAGCAATATCACGAAAGTTGATCTTAATTTAATTTGAGATTGATCTTACTACACATGGCTCAATCCTTCAAGTTTTAATGCAATGAAACAATCGAGTCTTTTGCACAACGCTCTTTTTCAAACTCTTTGCTCCCAGAATATGGCGCAAGTGTGTTCTTGACGAAATTAGATCGGATAATAGCATGCATATATAGTAATGAATTTAAAAGTTTATATCGAGATATACTCGTGTCAATGAGATTTTCTCTTAACTATATATTTGAAATTATCAAATTAATTCGATTAGATATCCTGTTTATAACTTTATCATATTTAACAGCAAATGTGTGTACTTTCGCATTAGAATTTCGTTGAAATTGAAATTATATCCTCGTATAATTGGTTAAAAGCCTCGTAGTTCAACGGATACGCGCGAGGCATAATTCTCCACGAAATTAAATTAGGAGTTAATGAGATATATATTATCCAATCGTGACGATTGTTAGAGAAGAATTATATCGAGCGTCATATACAATTACTTGTATAAATTGTCTTCCATACCTGGATATTCGCAACCATCTAATCCGAATTAACTGTACTGTCCTTGTATCCTCACAAAGCGATTCGACATTCGATTCGTAGATTTTCGGTTGAATTATGGAACATGAGGTAGTTTGCAGAGCATACAGAGCATATATTCGTTTGAAATATTCGTTTCAGCCAATTCAAACGTATCTATCTCGACGACATAGGCCATTGTAGGTGGCCATCGCCTAACTCCAATACCTAACAGCAATATGTCTTCCATCGTACGTTATACGAGCTTGATTGAATTAGCTGGTCCAATTTTGATTATTCAATCTCCGGTTGCAGAAATGCAATCCATTAAATCTGGCGGTATTTGTGATCCCTTCTCGTATCATGAAAACAAACGAATGCATGTACAAGATGCGGTTTCGATGAATAATATTGTCGATTAACGCAACTCATGATCGACTCGGTGTCGATAGTGTGCTATTTAGATAAGAGCGATGTTTCTTTTGAAATAACCGTATTGACGAGTTCTTCGAAATGGTATACGCGTAATGAATCCTTATCTTTCTTTCGTCAAAGGTTGTCACTTTCTTCACATTGTTTCTTACCCATTGATATCAAGTTCACCTTTCGCGAAAAGTAACTATAGTCACCTGTCGTCATAAGAGCTCGTTAAAATCAAAAACTAATTAGAAACTTTAGTTAATATAGGAAATTACATTATATGTATAATTATTGGAGAAATTGGTTATATATATAGAGGAAGTTATTAGAGAAATTATAAAATTATAATAGTCACATTGGCTGTCGTGCGCATTTCATTAAAAACACGTGAAGATCCCTTGACGTACGCGTTATTAAATATCCTGCTAAATTAAACATCCAACCAACGTTCCTCGACTGAACTCTGTAGTATCAAAGAGATTGAGGTCCCATGTGTAAAATGCTTGATCGATCTTACGTATCCTACCTTTAGTCACTTAGGAAACTGAGAAGTAAACTATCTTAAAGGAGCTTAGGAAGCGTCCCATCTTCCCTCAAAGTAAATATTATGTTTAAGACAAGGATTACCGTTAGACAAAATTGATTCCCAGATTAAGAGCTCATTTTAGGACAATTTGCACACTAGGTCAAAGCTTTTGGAAAAATAAAAGTAGGAGGTGACCTCGATTTCGGGGACGCAGTTACTAAATTCTATAAAACTTTGCTAACAGGGGCTTATATCCCAGACCGCGCTTCTCCATTAGCAATTCAAGCTATGTTAATGATGAAGTTTGTCCCGGGTGAGGGTAGTTAATTTTTATCAAAATAAAATATGCTCACAGGTACCTAGCGGTGGTCCACCCGATCGCCTCGATGTCTTGGAGAACGGAGAACCATGCCATCCTTGCGATCTGCGTCACCTGGGCGGTGATCTTAGCGATATCCACTCCGGCGCTCGTGATACATGGCGAGGTAAGTACGTCGCGAACGATGCTCCACATTCCTCTTATCCAGCCTTCACTCCCTTATGTACCTCGTGTACGTAGATTCGCTACGTGTTCCAGGAGGTGGACGGCTCGTCGTCGGAAAATCTGACGGCTTGTCGGATCCTAGAGCAGTACGACTGGTCCTTCTTCCAGGTGTCCTTCTTTCTGACGAGCTATGTGCTGCCGCTGAAGCTGATATGCATTTTTTACGTGTGCATGCTGATCAAATTGTGGCGTGGCTCGCGCATTAGCGCCGAAAGCCGACGCGGAAGGAGGCGAGTCACCAGGCTCGTCCTCGTCGTCGTCGGTGTCTTCGCTGTTTGTTGGTGTCCTATACAGGTAAGGGCCTCTGTACACCTAGAAAGGGATCTCTTTTTACCACTTCGTCACGTCGCGATATCATTCGCAACGTCACGTTACAGGTGATACTCGTGACCAAGTCTGTCGATATGTTTCCGCTCACGACGGCAACGATAATGCTGCAAATAGCCAGCCACATCCTCGCCTACACCAACAGCTGTGTTAACCCCTTCCTCTATGCCTTCCTAAGCGATAATTTTCGTAAAGCCTTCCGGAAGATCATCTATTGTAGGCCGCGACCGGAGTCAAACAATCGGCTGGGACCAGCGACGAAGACTACGAGAGCCGCTAGTACTGGCGATATTCTTTAGGTAAGAAACTATTTTCTCACACAATAACAACACTGCAGTCCTTCGAAGTATCCCTTTCTGTTATGATATCCTGTTCTCTCAAGATTGCACTCGAGGATTATTTCTAGTCCTGATAATACTTTTATATCTTCTAGTTTTATTTTCAATCTCAACCTGTATTTCCCACTGTGAGATTTACAGCTCCGGGAGAGGATTCTCAAGCGTAACGTTACAATGTTATTATTTTTTCTCGTCTTCCTTATATATCCCCGAAGCGATATAAATTTCTTCGAGGGATGACGAGCGGAATCGTGCCGGCACTTAACGACGTTATTCGATTTACTTGGCTCGGTTCGACTCGGCTGGGCTCGGTATGCGAGAGCGCGTAACAAAATTTTCCTCTTTTCCTCTCACTCCCTCTACCTCCAGCCCCAAGCACAGCACGGTGTATTGCCATTAACACGACGACGTTTTCACGGCTAGTTTACCCTGGCTGCCATTTTCGTCTGTCCCTTCCGCGCGCGGATATCGTTAAGAAGAGAGAAGGAAGAAAAACAGACAGAGAGAAACGTATGATGGAAAGAGATAAAGAAAAAAAGAGAAAGATGAAAGAAAAAAATATATATATAAGATACAACCCAATCTTGTGTATCACCGAGCATTGCCATTAATGTTAAGTAAAGATGCTGAGGTTAATGTAGGGCGAAAGGAAAATATTCATTTAAAAACATATTCCTTATATCTCTCACAAAGGTACCTCGCGTACCTCGCGTACCAGGTACTGCAATGAAAAAAGTAGTAAAATTTTCCTGTTCGTTCATAATAAGAACAGGAATTCCTCACGCAATATAGAAAGTCTGAGAGTGTCCTTAATAAACACGAGTTACCACGGAAAACCAAGCAAAGACTTCTCTTTATCTTATATGATTTCCATTGTGCATTAAGAAATAATTCTACAGTCCTACATTATTTTAATATTATAACAGTGCTTTCTATTAGATTAACAACTAATTTATTTATATATCGAAACATTGACAAATAGACTCGATTTTTAACGATACCGTAATTTTGTTGAGTTATTATATTACTTATAAAATATTAGCTTATCATTTTAGCACAATGATATTTCTAAGTTGCTTTTTATAACTGAAAATATAAAAATGGGAATCAAATTTTACAAGACATATCTAGACAAAGATATTATAGATTTTTTATCTTATGACTCGAAATTTGCAATTCTTTCTTTTAAAACTGTGAATACAGATTTTCTGCATAAAGATGTAACAAATATAAGACATGTATTCTCTATTGCTGAATAGTCGTTGATGGATACAATATTATCGACACGCGCTCCAGTTTTACTCTTTGCCCTTTGATTTGTACTCATACTGTTTGTGCAATACATGGAAAGTTTTTTAGTAAAATTTCATCGCGACGCGTCGTGTGAAGCAAACCAACCTTAATCAGCTCCATACGTTACAGATTGACAGCTGGACGGAAAATCAATTAACTAGTCTTTGATATCAATGTGACGTGTTATCGTCGATGTTTGATACAGCTAGGGCACGTCCTTTATACGTCAGAATAGTAAAGAAGCGACCCTGTGCGGTTTGAAGACTAGAATAGCACAAATTCTAGGATCCGATAATTAACTTAAGTCTAATTTATAATTGATTCTGTAACATCGTCCTATTCTGCATTCTCCGCTAATACTTACTATAAAGTTTACTCAACTAGACGTTACAGACGAATGCTATTGCATATCATTAAAAAGTACACGTACACACTGCAAGTATGATGAACAGAGTACCTCAGAACAGTACAATATCGACCATAAGAAATGTGCTAAATATGAAAAGATTAATTTTTAGAAAGATGTGCTAAATATAAAAAGACTAATTTTTAAAAGGATCTCGAAAAAAGATATATTTGCTTATAATTTACCAGATTTATCTCTAAAGTAAAACTAACAAGGGAACATGTAAGATAAATAGATGAATTAAGAATTTGTCAATTTACCAATTGATGTCAATAAAAGGTTTTAAGAGATAAAACCATCCCTTATAAGAACAGTTTCAGTTTTTTTTTAATTATTTAAGATATCAAAGAACGTTTCCTACAAAAGTTTTATGATAAGAAAATTGCTATTTAACTACAATAATAATATGTTGAAAAGATAATTATTCTCAAAAGTTCTTCAAAAGCTCTATCAAAAAATATTTTAATTCTGAATATATTTATTGAAATGAAGATAACAGTGAATTTTGTTATTTTCGAGTTCTACTTTTTTCAAGACGGGAAAATGATACAATTCGCGGTTCAAATACGACAAATGAGCGGATATGGATCGATATTTGCAAGATAGCCACAATCTCTCCTACGTGGCTTGCCGTTCTACCATTTTCGTGATTTAAAGATAATAATCGATCGAACAATATGTACGACACGAATTCCTACTAGAATTCTTTGACATTTGATATGAGCTTCTACCCAAGCTTCGGTCAAGGTTTAATTGCTTTATTGGACTAGCGGTTAGATCCACAGCCGAGCATCGAGAGAAAGAGAGAGAGGGGGAAGAGGGAAAAGGAGAGGGAGAGGAACAGAGAGAGAGAGAGAGAGAGAGAGAGAGAGGGGGGAGGGGGAAAGAGAGAGAGAAAAAAGTTACAATCCTTCCTTAGAAGTTCTCCTCCTAATATTATAACTTGGCGATTAATGGGTCAGTTGATATAAAGTACAAAATCCTTATAAAACTTCACCTCGTATGCGATTACCAGCTTTCATTTGTCTCACCTTTCTACCATTACATGTAACACATGACAGGAAAATGTAATGACTTTAGTTGGATTTAGTGGATTGTTTACAACTGCGATATAATCATAGTGGCTATCTGGAGTTTACACACGGTAAAGCGGATCCAATGGTAATCAGTCTGTTTGCACTCCAGCAGCCGAATATGCGATGATATGGCATTTCATCCGTTCTGTTTGAATCCATCTGATTTGTCCGTAGCTCTCGCTCTTTGGCTTTCAGCAAATAAATAGCGCACAGAGCCTAATTGTTTATAAAGTTTAGCCCGAATTTAATTTAGCTCATTTAACTTCATAGTACACAAATGAGATTGTAAGTTTCTAACCCAACGAGTTTTCCCAAGAGTTAACGCACGTGTAGTTCTAATCCTTTAACAATTTTAGAGTAATTATTATATAAATACACACTATTAAATGACTTGGTCTTAACTGGGACGTGGAAGTTTGCGAAGTTTCACGCTGAGTCTTCTTAGAGATGATCGAAAACGAGTTAAGGCGGCCTGGTAATCCGGACAAGATAAATAACAGAGTAAAGGAACATTTTGTTTATATTATAAGCAACATTGCTCATGAACAAAGAAATGTGTGCGTATCATCGAGAAGATGAATGGACTACTTCAACGCATATCAGCCATCGTTTTCCGAGAAAAATTCACTGTCGATCTTCATGAATTTTATTCAAATTCGATTCGAATATAAATGGCATCTTTCTTTACTTCAGTTATCAGAATAACTGACGTGCTTTAATGCAATTTGCATTCTAGTGAGCAGTATTACCTTAAAGCTTCACGAATCTTGGCATTCTAGTTATAATTACAATCACATTTCTCGATATTCCAATTTCCGCTAATCAAACTGTTTTCAGGAACGTATTAAATTCCAATGGCGGTGGATGAATATATTATTCTTACTTCCGATAAATTCCAGTAAACTCCATAAACGTATTCAGAGGTTAGCTGACCAGTTAATTCCCAGTTATAATTGTTATAAGCCACTTAGTCTCTTAACTCTAATAAGCTTGATAACTTTGAAACAGCTCTATTAGTATAAATTACGCAGCTTGTATGCGAGAATCTGCTCTGCACTCAAATTTGCGACAACTGCTCACGTACTCGTGTGTTACCTATAATAACAAACGAATACTCGAAAACAACAATCGCTCTTAATACCCGAGTAATGTCATTTACTTATTCATTTTTGTAGCTGTTAATTCCATCAGTTGTCATCAACTGTTATTCATTTCATAAGCTGTCATTAATTTTATCAGCTGTCTTTTATTTTTTTAAAGATATTCGTTACTTTAATCACGATATTCGGATAATTTGTAAAATATTCGGATATCCTAAGTATTTAACACCGCTTCTTCGAGGATATACCGTGATTAATGTGCAACATGGCTTAAACCTGAACATGCTGGATAGACTGTTGAATGATGCAGCGCGTTTCTACTGAGCGCCAAACGTTCGCAGCTCGGAGTTGTTTAGGCAGACAGAAACATCGTAATTTACAGACAAGACGTTTATAGAAGGATAAGCGGCCGGGTAATCGCCGGCGCCTCGAATATTGCGACGCATGGACGATCGTAAAAATGACTGTCTGTTGGCCAGTGCAAACAAATCTTGATCAAGTAGACGTATTCCACGGGCGGCGAAGTGATAATCCGATCTGCTGTCGTCGTCGTCCTGATTCAATCTTGACTAAAGCATTTGCAGAATTAGCTCTGTGCGATATGAGCGACTTTATTTACGCGTCGTACACAGACGATCAAGTATGTTGGCATCCTTCTTTCCCGATTTAGAAGTCTAGTCACATTAATTAAGCGAACAGCGCAAATCCAGCTTCAAACAATATGGTACGATGGCTCTCTACGTTCGTGATCTTACGTCCGTATTTTTGTGTAACTTGAAAAGTTTCCAAGTAAATATCGATTTTCGCGCCCGCCCAATCTACGTGGGCGGAATGCCGAGGGCTATAATTTCAAACATGTCCCGAAAAAATTGGCGCCTTCGCGGCATGATAAATGAAGGTTGTTTGGCAAGGATTTGGAAAAGTATATTACACTGTTGATACTCTCATGAATCGCTGAGCGGAACGTCTGCCAAAAGAAGAGTGCTCGAACCTTTCGTCGTATAAATAAAGCAGAGTCAAAATGAATAAAAACATTAATAAATATGTGCAGTAAAAATTTATACTTTTGCGTTGTAGTGATTTCCTCCGTTCTTGCGCAGAAAATGATTTCGTATTACATTAACGTTACAACATGTAAAATATAAAAACGAGATAAACTCGATTTGAATTATGTTGTTTGCATTCTTCACATACAATGCCGACGAAAAGGTTATTTTAGTACCTCGGTTTGATGGAAACAATTCGGAATTTTATTAAATTAAATTCTAACTAAGAGTAACTTAATTGAAAAAGTTTCTTCTATCGTCACATTCCTACTGCTTTTGAATATTACAGGCTGATAATGTTTCATGATAATACAATCCTTTCCAGTTTAATTCACACGAATAACGAATCACTTGTGCAACATTGTGCACTAATTTGTACTGATTGCAGGGCTTTAATCGAATTTTACAGTTATTTACGTTTTACTATATTTGTTATTATTTGATAGCCGGAAAATTTATTGATTGAAAAGAATTTTCTTTAGCAATGCCATATTGTGAGATATTGAAATACTACGTTCTATATGTGTGACAATTTAACGAGTATAGCGGAAAACAAAGATATGCAGATTCGACAGTGACGCACACAGATCGATAGCAGGGAGGTTGGTCAACAGTGTTAGGAGGAAAAGAGAAATCAAAGGGCGGACAGAACGTAACAAGAAGGAAGGAGGAGGAAGAAGCAGGATTATAGCGAAGAAGCGAGAATAAGGAAGAGATGAGAAAAGGGTTGAAGTGCGCTGGACGGCCTCTCTTCTGCTTTCTCGACGAGAAAAGTCTTCCGCTTATTTCATGACACGACGGCCTACTTCTGAAAGCTCCCCACCTTTTACAGGAATTATACTGTCGAGATCAGAGAGAGACAGAGAGAGAGAGAGAGAGAGAGAGAGAGAGAGAAAGAGAGAGAGAGAGAGGAAGGAGAACCGAAGCCGAATGGAATCCCAAAGTGCTTTCTGAAATTTCAGAAACGTCAGCAAACAAACTACCGATCACTGCTTGAATATTTTTTTTTCTTCTTTCTAAAATCTCGTTCACGCAGAAATCGATAACGAGCGAAACTTGAGCTTTTTAATCATTTCCATAGTTCACAACAAGACAGGCACTTAAGAGGTTTCCGTTTTACCTTCCCGTTGAATTTTTGCTTCACACGCATGACAAGAAATTAAATGGTTTCCGAGGGAAAGCTCAGTTAGATTAATACCGCATAATAACAAAAGAAAAACTAACGGGAAAAAAACAACGAACGGAAAAAGATAAATAATAGGGGAGGTCAGTCAACAGTCGGCAGTTAGCAACGTAGAAAATTCTCGCTCCATTTATGCACGAGCACATTTGTTTTATATTTCAATGTTATTTACTGTTGCAGGTAATAAATTTGCAGGCCACGCACGCACGCGAAGCGCGGACTGGCACGTGCAAAATCGAGCACTTGTTTATAACGGCGAATGTCTGTGGTCCATAAGATATTCGGTGTTTGATGTCGCGTAGGCGAGCAGGCGTATGTTTCCAATTCTCCGACCTGCGCCAAACAAAAATGTATACATTGAAACTTTTATATTCTCTCTATTTCTTTATCGAACAGAGCAGATATATATATATATATATGTATGTATATATATACACATATATATATATATATATGTATGTATGTATGTATGTATGTATGTATGTATATATATCCCGTCTGTGGGGACATCTAAACGGTAATCGTTCGGAGAGAAAGTACATCTCCGCACGCAGGAGGCGACTGCGTCGAGATGCAATTAATCACAGGCGAGAAGGAGCTTAACTTGTACCCCAATCGTTGTAGTCGTTATTGTCCTCCTTTACGAGTGTACTTCGCAGGTTCGATTCGAATTCGCGGATCACGGCAGTCGAGCCCCTGCCGGTTTCGCGAGTGCGATACTATACGATATCCTTAAATGTGAAGCGCGAGCTCATTTCCCGACGCTGTTAATTCAAATGGTTTTACGGGAGGTCGTTGGAAAATTGCATCCCCGAGAATTATAAAGTGTATCAATAAAGACACTGAAATAATCCATGTCGTTTGTTCATTATTCCAAGTTTCGATGGGAAAGGAAACTCGTTTATCGTTCCCTTTCCGTGACAAGCGGGTATCCGGACAGTAAGAAGACTTGACGTCGAAAAACATAATGAGAAATTGAACCAATGCAATTTAAAACTTTCTGTCATCTCGTTTGCGAACGTGGCGGAGGCAATGGACGCGGCTTATGATATCATTTCTTGTTTCTATACGTAAGAGGGCAATTAGTCGCTTCTCAAAAAGTTTTCGAAAATATTATATTACAAAGAAATTATTATATAATCTCTCATGTGAGAAAAAATATATGATTGAAACCTTGTATATCTCATCGAATAAATAAGACGGAATAATAATTAAATAATAACAGAAAAATATATATTTGTCAGACTGTGCAAACATAAAGAAAGGCCAATAATAATAGAGAGGGATTAACGTCTCATTGAAATTCACTTATTTCGACTTACGAATTTAAGAAGAAAAAAATAAGTCGTCATTCTAGCAGTCGAATATCGTTTCGTTTCTCACGTTGTAATTAATTAATTGCGCTGTCTTTGGCTCAAAAGCTTATCAACTATCCTCCAGTAGCGATAATAAATTTTCGTTTTTTATACAAGCGCGAGGGAATCACTTTCAGTGCGGACAAGCGACGTAATGAGACGACGAGATAATTTTAAGTAGGTAGAGTCGAGAAGGCTAATGATCGACGAACAAAAGGAAATCGAATCGCTTCCAGAGCAAAGCTAATGTCCCAGAAAAGAGTCCCGTTTCTGGCAAGCTTTCTCTCTACTTATCTCTCCGATGCCAGGGATTCCGGCCAGTTTCCGATAATTGTATTAATAAAATTAATTGTTGCATGAGAACGGAGCGACGGCGCCTGCCGTCGTCGTCCGTCCTCTTTAAGAATCTCAATCTGACTCGGTGCTTGAGACCACCGATCTCTATAGATTTTCAAGAGCACTTTCAAAGGTGAATTTTTCAAGTTTAATCTCGATGATTATCCCGAACGAGCCGTCGGGAATGAAAGAAAGGCGAATGGCGTGAAGGATGTTTCCGGAGGAGTCGTCACCCGCTTTGAACGATGAAGATAACTGAGTTATTTTCCACTTTCGTTCCACTTTTGGCGATCATCCGCGATGAATTATGTACAGCGTTCCATCTTGAGTGATTCGGAAGGACGCGACGGTGGACGGTTAGATTAGACCACATTTATATAAGTTATATACGTGCAAGTTTTATATACGTTATGCAAAGCTAAAATACATTGCATCCGCTATACGAAATGGGTCTCGAATTTATGCATGTGCAACTTGGTGAGAGGAGACACTCAAATAGAGAACCGCAAAGTCGATGCTGCACTCTATTTTACACCGATATTTTAAGTAATTCCACAATTACAATAAATGATCCTGGAAACAAGAATCTCGCGCAATAATCCTCGTGTATTGCCAATTCACCTCTGCCTTTTAATCTGCAATAATATATTATACTTGTATAATTCTGCAGTAATAAATTTAATTCGTTATTCTGTATTCACAAATTTCGACTATTGATTTGAACATCGCATTTTGGAAATTTTTTATGCATAAAAAGAACATTATTTCTTCTTCCTTTAATACGTGTAACTTTAATGCTACGGTATGAGTAAAAAAGAAATTTCGTTTTATTCGAGGAAAACTGAGATTTAGAGTCACGTGCGTCGTTCGTCACAGTTGGCTCGAAATTGAATAAATCTCAATTCAGTTGAGAAAGGCATGAGCATTTGTTTAAGCTATTGCTCACACATGATAACGTCATTATGTAATTCAGTAAACATCATTATTTCGTCGAGTTGCGATGTGCCAGTCAAAGAACGCTTTTATGAGCACACGCGTAAAATTAAGTGGACTTTACGGTTTATGAGTGCAACACGCGGGGTGCTCGTAAATATCGACTCATCTTCCAATGAGAAGAGTCGTAGGAACAACGTCACTCTGAGGACGACTCAACAAAATTACACAACTCGTTCGTCATAAAGTAAAAGCCAGTCTACGAAATGACTGAAAATTTTAGCTGTAAATCATAAATTTTATAAAGTTCAGTGAGGCATGATTCGAGAGGGACATTCATTGCAAATATTTTATCAAGCCAGAATAGTTAAGATTGCAGGCTAAAATAAGCTTTCGAACAAGAAGATTCAACGCTTTGAGGATAAAGCTTGCTTCTCATTGATTTTAATAAGATCAAATGCATGTTTTAAAAGTTGGAAAAGTATCAAATGCGCTACTTAAACTCTTCAGGGCTTTTAAGAGCCGTAAAATTGCTGCTTGCAAACAATTTTTTATTTGTACTTCACTTTGGCTTTTTATCATTACATGATTTGGATGTACAAATATCGACCACATCATATCAAATATTGATGTAATATATGCGTTTAATAACAACGCCTATATTCGTATCGGCGAATTAAATAAAATATTTCGTCTGTCATATTATAAAGTTTATATTTTATATTTGAAGACTCGCGTTCGCAGCACATGAGAGATATTAATACAAAATTAAACTTTACACAAAATATGAAACCTGTATCCGACACAATGAGTTCGGGGAGTTTTATAAACGTTAAATCTGAGGTTTAGGAATAACTTTCTTGGGTGTGGCGTGAACAAATTTCACAAGTTTCTTTGTGTCACAATAAGAAGTTACACTCGCTCTTTCACAGTATTTCACGATATAAAAATTTCAGTTTGAAAGGAGAAAATGGAAGAAATAGGAAATCGATAATTGTATTACATAAATCCCACAATATGTTGGCGTCGCGCGGGTAGTAAGTGCGATAACGGAAAATAACTTAAAAGCAAATGGAGTTCTTTTTTACCAAGGTGCAAATTTACGTCAAGTCCCGCGACTTTACTTTAAATTGCACATGCGAGATTAACGTGTTCGTCGCACGTAGCCCTAGATGAAACGTTAATGAACGATAAGGAGAGGACGTGAGACAGCGAGTGAAGATGCATTTACGCGCGGCTACCTCGACAAAGGTAGAAAGGGGAGCAGTAACCAGAGATCATGGAAAAAGAGTTCTGTAGAGGGGGATGAGTACCTCAAATGGTCGGGAACATTCTCCTGTCGGTGAAAGGAAGGAACACCTACCTCTATGCTCGTCCGCTCGCTCGTTCGCTCACTCGCACAGTACCCTTTTGTCAGAAGATCGATGAACTCTGTCCTCACGTGGAACAATGAGAGGTGGACGGGATTCGTGTTCTGAGAGAGAAGCCGGAAAGCGAAATGAGCCCGTTTCTGAAACGCGCGGCAAAAAGCAACCATCTCTCGACTTGAGGCGATCTTCGCGGACGCGCACCTGAAACGCGTCTTTTTGTATCTATTTAATACTTGTTTATAGCAGAAGAGTCAATCGAAGAGATCATTCATCGCTACTTGGGATTATTTCACTCCCGTGAACTAACTTCTCGTGTCAAAATAACAATTTCACACTTGTGTATGCAGGTTTGTTTCGACAATTACAATAAAAGATCAGAAAACCAGCAATAGAGATCAATTAACACTAATTTGCACTATTTTACTTCTTCAGGAATAATTTTGCGCTGTATTAATGTTTCATAAATTTCTTCTTTTAGTCATCTTTACACAGTTAAACCTGATATTTAATATTCATTCAGCCTTTTAATATTCTTGATTTATCAAGATAAAGAAATCAAACATAAAAATAACCCCGACTTCGTCGAACGACTTTTCCTATTAATAGAACTCGCAATTACTCGGTGAATGCACTTTCTCGACTTACTTCTCGACTTACCTCGAGTCCGATTGTACCTCAAGTTATACTTCCTCGATCGAAGACGACGGCGGTGAAGAATCAATGAATTCCCTTGGAGCCCATGTTGGACTGTTTGAAGGCTGAGTACTTAAGGATACATCTAGTTATCGGATTATTTGGGTTAACGGGATTCCACATCGACGCGTTTCAGCATTAGGAGAGCTCGTAGCACCATCATCAGCATCCACCCAGTGACGGATTTAGAGCCTCAGAGGCCTTCAGCTACCTTCTCTCTCGCTTCCCCGTCACCCCTAAGAATGTCGAAATTCCGCAAACGAGATACCCGCGTTATTGTTCAGTGAGCAGTGCTGGATCATTGTATTAATGACAAATGTCTCTGTTTATTGCAATCGCTTGCCAACTGCTACGTGCCCTCAACAAACAGCTAGTTATAAATCCGCAGAGCGACCCGAAGATTCTTTGGTATTCGGGGCTCAGTGAACAGGTTCACCCGCCACTGTCCTCACCCCGCGAACTCACCTCCCACGCCGTTCAATCTACCCGGCCATCTCTCCCCGGCCATGTATTCGGCCCGACGCGACGAGATGCCGTGCTGTAACAATGACCTCGTTCCATAAACTCCCAACATACTCGAGCACATAAAAATGCTAGTCGTTTATAGCGAGACGCGTACAGAAAGCGGCTTTTCATCGGCCGTGCGTTATCCGGGTTGCAACCCTCTTCCAAGCCGTAAGCTAGCCTGTTTAACTGGTTACGCTGATCCGCCGAAAAGATGTCTCATGTATGAGAAAGTAGCTCAGATTTTCCTTTTTATTTTCAGCCACATAAGCTGTATCACACACTAGTACTACATATTTTCACATGGATTTTTCGATTAATTTGAGATAAACTCGTCCTCGGTAGTTCTTGAACCGATTAAAAATTCATGAATGCTTACAAAATAAGTTTTAAAATTAAGTTTAAATACTTAATCAGAGTTAAATATTAAGTTTTCTATAAGCAGAAAATAAATATCGAGTTTTAAATATAATAAGCAGATATCAAAGGATATTCATTCCTCTTCTAGTCCCAAGATTATACTATAATCCAGTGTCAGGGATTTAACGTTTTAACGTGAAATTAACTTGGCGAAGTAAAAATATGATAAGAGCTGAAGATCAGTGGGGAAAAACAACGGACAATTAAAGCTCAGGAGACGATGATTAATTACCCGGCGAATGAT